TTTTTTTGTATAAGAAATTTTATATAAAGAAATATTTTTTTGTGAAAATTTTTTCATATCATAGTTTTTAAAACTTTTTTTTTTAATCTTTATGTTTTTATTATACTTTTTTTTAATTGCATAAATTTCTAACAAGAATAGGAAAGGTTAATTTATTATAGAAAGGTTAGTTTAATATATTTTGTAATATCATTAGAAAATTTGGGAATAAAGTACATTTAAAAAGTTTTTTACATATATAACATAATATATTTAATCAATTTGTTTCTTTATGATATAAACTACATATAATTTACATATTTGTATTCTTTTTTCATTCAATATAATTTATTTCCAAATTTTCAAAAAAATTGTGTATTACGTTAATATAATAATAACTTTTAAAATAAATCAATATTATAAATAATTGATATCATATAAGATCTTTTTGTCTCTTATATTATAATTACCAATAAGTATAACTAATAGTATTAATGAAAAATTTACCTTCATAAAAATCTTCATTTATTATTATTATATTTGTTACTATTATCCAGTATAATTTATTAAAATAATTAATATAATTAATCACTTGTAAAATTTCATTAATATCATTAGTTAAATTGTGCAAAAGGATTTAGGAAATGGAAGATTTTTATAAATTAAATAAAACTCGAACTATTGGTTAAATTGTTATATTCAGGCTGTTGATATATCCAATGTGTATATAAAAGAAACGTGATGCCGCATGCGCTGGATAATATATACAGCCTGAATGGAAAATCGCATGAAGAAAAGTATAGCATAGTGTGTTTAGTAATCCAGGATTACTTGTTCTTGGAAAGAGTACGTTGTTTTTCCGCATGCGTAACAAGTTGAGAATCCACAGGTAAACCTTTGCGTCGACGGACTGCATCTATATATTTCTTAGCTTTATTTTCGCTATCAGCTTTGTCACCAAAATGTAGATATTCCTCGTCCGTGGAAGGCGTCCAATAAGGATCTTGCTCGATTATCTACAAATAAAATTATTAATATTATATTAATTTATACAATATTATTATTATATTATAAAATTCATTTAATGCTATCAATACCAACCAGTTATAGTAATAATTTTTTAATATTGATATTTTTATAAAATTTTTATTTTTAATATATGATACTATGTAAATTATTAAACGCAGTAATAGTTTAACTCGATAGTTTTAACTTTTAATAAGATATATATATATATATATATATATATATATATATATATATATATACATATATATAAGTATATTATATTATATTAAATAAGCGAAAGTATATATGTTGCTATATAGCCTTGTTAAGCGGATTAAATTTCTTGATATTTTTATCAAATCATGAAATGCTAATTTATTCATATTTAGAATATATATATATATATATATATAACTTTATATATAACTTATGTTATATCATTTTCTTCGTGAAATAGTTAGAAAAATGAAAATAAATAAGGATCTACATAAACATAGATAAATAAATAAGTATATTTATTGGGGAAAAAATCATTTTGATTTTTGCAATTAATTAATAATTGATTAATTATAATATAAAATTGATTAATAATATAGAATTGACCAAAGAAAAACAAAGAATATTTCTATATATTTTTGCGAATATTTAATACTTCGTGATATTGAAAAGTGGAAAAATATCGAGATATTGACCGCGTGTTCCCTTTATATGGAAAAACTTGCCTCCCAATGACTGAAAACCAGTTGAGGACTGGCCAGCCCGGATGTCTGAGTTCGCAGTTCCCTGGCAAGTTGAAAACTCTCTGGTACAGGTAAAGTTGCAAGTACGCGAAATTGTCCACCAAATCCGAGAGCACTTTCCGCGGCAATCACTCGTCCTTGTCTTTTTCCAAATACCGCATATAATTTCCCTGAAACAAAAAAATTGTTTTTTCTTTTCTGTTTCTTTATTTTTTTTTTTTTTATTATTAAATATATAACAAATTTTAAAATTCTACATTATTTTAATAATAATTTTGAATTATGCTTTTCTTCAAAATATAAATATATTTTGAAACAGTACATTTAAACAAAATTTCATATACTATATAAAAGATATATAGGAGAAGATGTTTTATCATCGAAAAAGATTTCTAGGTTACATGGATAATGTCTCCCTTCCCAGTTAAGAAGATCTCTTTCTCTGTCGGTTGAGATTCTTCGCTAGGACATAAAGTGAAGACATAGAGTTGCACAGCATTTACAGTCAAAGAGTAAAGAACATAGTTTCCGGTCGTAGGTTGCGGCACCTGCACTCACCTGCCCTTTTCCATCCTTCTCCCATTGCCGGTACATACAAGAATCTGGTGTATCCCCTTTTTTTACCTACTCGTGGTAACGTTACGATCTCACTGCGTACCACATGCATACATACAAACACATTTCCCTCTCTCCTTCGCTATTTCCTTTTCTCTCCCTACTATGCTGCAATCTCGCTGTTGAGAGTTTCACCTCTATAACTTTACTTCCAACGCTACAATCCCCCTCTCTACTAGCTTCTCTACCTCGATGCTCTACTCTCTCAACCCCACCTTGTTTTCAAACTCCTCGTCGAATCGTAAGCAAGTCTTGCTCCTCTCTCAACGGGCAAGAATTCATTCATGCCACACACACAGTGGTTCTCTAAATGGAGATGGAGCGAATTTATTAAAACATTGTAATGAATTATCGCCAACAACAGGAAAACAAATCTTCAAAGGTAAAAATAAAACTTAGGTTTTAAAGATGCATGTATTATTTATGAGTTAAAAGATTGCACATGAAATCGCAGTATAATTAAACTATGTATGTAAAAGAAAAGATCATAGATTAAAGATCATAGATTTAGCCTTTTTTAACGAGGTTATCGCGTACATCTATCGTTATTCCGAGTTCTTTTCTCGCGCATTTACACGTTTAAATTTATACTTATACATAAATACATCGAAACAAAGGAAGAGAAAGAAAAGTTAAAATGAGAAAAAAATTCTAATTTGTAGCAATGAAGAAATGGAAAGGAATGAACGAATGAATTACAAATATATATATATATCAATCACAATTCTAAAATAATCTGAACCAATGCTATTTATACTCTTTATCTCATTTGCTTTGACTTATATTCTGTTCTATTCTTCGATCTGATGCGACCAGATAAAATCAGATAGAATCGGAACAGAATCTTATCTCCCTTCCTATTCGTTTTTATAAATAAAGGAGAGTAAGAGTACAGCAATTCAGGTAGACAGAGGAAACAAATGAGAGAAGAGTGAAGAACTGTGAAGGAAAAGAGAAAAAGTATGAGTGAATGGATCGCGGCCTCAATCAATGAAACAGCGATCCTCAAACTCACGATCGCTCTTTGGAAAATCTTATATGATTTGGGATCGTATATTTTCTAACTTTAAACATTAATTTTAATTACAGTGATAAAATAATATGAAATTTAAGATACAGGAGATTTAAGAGAGATTTTAGCTATCAATATGTTTTATATATATATATATATTTTATTATTATACATTTTATATATTATTTTATATATTATATATTTATTTATTATATATTTATATATTTTACATATATATATATTTTTTATTATATATTTAAAATATAATATTTAATATATAATTAAAATATATTATTATATATTTTATATATATATATATTTTATTATTTCGTATATATATATATATATATATATATACAAGAAAAGAATGTTATTTGTTCTTTGGCAAATGCGTAAATATTTAGAATATATAAATAATTTTTATTATTATTGTCACGTAATTAGATTTATTATTGCCTGTATGTTACACAATCGGTCACTTATATTATAATGGCAGCACACAACAATCGTTCGTACACGACGGTAATTTTAATGAGCGGTTGCTATGGCGATTAGATACGAATCTGCTATTGAAATTGTTATAATTGCCAATCATCTTCGAATTTGAATGAATACTTTGAAATGAAAAATACGTTGAAAAATGTGCAGTACAATCCATTTTGATCCCGCTTAACCAACGTAATCACGTAAGTTTGATTCGACAGTAATATCTTTCGAATACAAACGCGATCTCGCGTTGAGATAATCTTGAGAACCGCGTCGACCAACCGCCACCCACACACATTTTTACGCGTTACGTAGTAGATTGTACCGATTACTTATGTGTTTCGCGTTGCCCCTATCCCGAGATATTTCCAACTATGCTTGGTAAATGTTACACGTGACACGGGGCTTTTTTCCTATTCTTGGGTTACCATCGCGTTCCTGCGTTCCATACAAACGATCCCGCGAGAGCAACAAGTTAATTTCATCATTGTATTACAACGCATTTCGAGAGTAAAAATTCTTCGAAGATATCTCTCGGAAGAATAGACGCTGTTTTCTTTTTTTTTTTTTTTTGCACGGTAAAAATTACTATCGAGCGAGGACAAGGAACTTGTATAGACAGATATAAAGGCGAGTTGAGCTATTAAAAAATAAACGAAGGCGGAAGCAAAGGGACAAAAGGATAAAAGAAACGTAAAGGAGAGGAGATAAAAGTTGAAAAAAAAAAAAAAAGGTACGAGCAAGAGGAAGTATGAGGGGAAAAGAAAGGCGAATAGGATAAAGGAGGACGAAAAAAGGAGAAAAATAAAAGTAAAAGAGAGAGAGAGAGAGAGATGGCAAAGCAGAGCAAGAAAAGTCTAAGTAACGAGTGTGGCTTGGACTCGGTGGTTGCATCCGAAGGAGAAGGATGGAAGGAAAGAAGAGAGCTGTGTCGAAGTGGAGTGGAGTGGAGTGGAGTGGAGTAGATTGGAATGGAATAGAGTGATGCGGTGTGGTATGGTGTGGTGTGGTGGAGTGGAATGGAATGAAGCATGGGGTGGAGTGGAGTGGAGTGGAGTGGAGTAGAGTGTAGTAGAGTGGAGTGGAGAGTAGAATGGAGTGGGGTGGAGTGGGGTAGTATGGAACGGAGTGGAATGGAGTGGAGTAAAGTGGAATGGAGTGGAAAAAGAAGAGCAGAGAAGGGAGACTCATTCATGTTTTGCCTCTAGCTGTTAGAAGTTCAGTCGAACGAATAGTATAGGCACGACGCACCGCGAATGTTGCGAGTCGTTTAACCTCGGACTAAATCGAATCGTGTTGCAAAACATTAATCGTAAGACCGTTCGAACGTAGGATGTTGAGCACGTAGGACGTATATGATAAAGACGATAGAACGTGGAGAACGCAAGGACACGAGAAATAACGTGAGGTATATCGCGTATTAACGATATTCAGTGTACTGTGACTGTTTTCGAGAGCGTAGAGTGCAACACACCAGCCACGTTGCTGTTGTTTCACCGTCGGTGAATGTGTTTTCTGTCATTGAATGCGATAACACTAAGAAAATTGAAACACTGGAAAATTCGACTTCACGCACGGAGAGGATCGAATCAATTTTAATTGTTCAGTTTCGTTCGATGGATAAGCAGAGAGGATGGTTAAGAAAAAAAATAGTTTTTGAAAATTGATATTTCTCTTTTTTGATAACACTCGTTTGAATATAAAGATATTCTATTATGGTCAGCGGTGATAAAGGGAAGACGACACAACAATTTGTGCGAGGAATAATTATGAAAAAAAGATTAATAATATTTATGTATTTTTGTTAAGCTATTATTAATAACGATAGAAATACGATATCTCGAATCGAGTTCATTGAAACGATATATAAGAAATCAAGATCGATTTCAACATATTTGTATTATGCGTCAATGAAAAATGGGAAATAAATGGTTACGATGAATCGTGATATATTTATGTGCAAATGTATCCTATTGACGATATTATTTTGACTTTTCACCTTCGATTTTGCTCGAAAATTGACGATCACATTGTTTACATAGCGATAGAGGCATTTGTTCGATGATCGGTGATCGTTGCGATCACCGATCAGTAAAAACTTATATATCAAATATATTATTTTGTTGGACGCGGGGAAGAGAAAAAAAGAAGGAAGAAAGAGGGAAAAGAAGGAAGGAAAAGGCCAGGAAGCATCGCGCGTGCGCGAAAGAATGGCCGATTTGATCTGTTTTTTGTTAGCAATGTTCGGGCAATTGCTCGTTCGTGAGAGCAAAGGTAGCCTTCTTGGCGTAGAACTCGACGAAACTGGACAAAAATTTCTCAATGAATATTTGTCTTTCGATGATGGAAAGTATCTTGCAAAGTTGCAAGAGTTTGAAGATACAGCGATTGAACTTGATTTGATCGATCAGAAGAGGAAACATCGACCAATACATCAACCGCCTAGAGTCCTTTATCAAATCGGGGTAAGTTCCTGTTGATTCAAATCAAATTATTATCTTCGATTTTTTTCTCTACGTTATTAAGCTAATATATTTATAACGTTTTGTTCACCTGTTGTGAATTCTTCTATGTATTCGCTGATTTTTAATAACTATATTAAAATATATACTATTTCATAAAATAATTACTGTGATTAATCAAATGATTTAAATAATAAATTTTTTAATAAATTTTTAATAAATTTTAACAAATTTTTGTAACGAATAATCTCGTTAAAAAATATATCATTAATTATTAAATCTTGCTTTCTATTTATTTCGAAAAATTTGTTATTTAATTTACAATTATAAGAAGACAGTCAAGTTTTTTAATCGTAAAATTATCGTAAGATAAATATCTCTATTTAAAACTTGTATCTCGTGATCCTCCATGTTAATGAAAAATGTTAATGAAAAAATATAAATACTCTTAAATTCTTAAGCAAAAAGATATTTGTATAATACTTATTATTATACTCTTCAAATTATCTAATATAAAGAGAAAAGAGAAAGTTATCGTGTGATCAATTTGAAAATGACATTCCTTCGACATTTTTCCCATCGCTATTATCAAACATTTATATGACCAACTTTCTTCAATTTATTCTCTTTCACTATTCCATTATTTTATGAAATTTTTAAATACAAGTATATTTTATATTCTGTATAATAAATAAATTATTTTGAAAATTTTATTATAATATAAGATAAAGTCATAGTATATATTTGCATAATTTGGCAATCGAATAGGAAAATAAGCGAACAACAATATACTATACAATGTAAAAAGTTTCATAAAAATTATGAGAAACGATATAAGGACAAGACAAAGAGATAAAATTCTAAGCTCACATCTTTAAATGATCGCCGCGTATATTCCTTGGATTATCTGTCATAATACGTAACTATATATATATATATATATATATAAGTATATATATATATATATATATATATATATATGGAACGCGGAACACACACACATACACGCGTACGCACACGAGCATATAGTTATTATACATACTATGGCTCAAGAACCAGGTGTCATTTTCACTGTGGCTATGAGAGAAGCGAGAGACGCGTGAGAACTTCCGGATGGAACGCGCAGCCTTTCCGGCCTCCCTATTATCCCATTTTAGTTTGCAGCCACCGAAGGTTTTAATACGTACGATCTTCTGGGAACGGTAAGGCAGAGGTAAAGTGGGGATGGAAGAAAGAGAAGGGAATATGGGAGAACGGAAGGGACTCGGCAATAAGAAGGTACAGAGAAAAGAAAAAGTGGCCAATCATTTTAAAAGAGACTTGGTTGCCTGATATACTTATAATATTAACACAGTTCTTTTTAAAATTGATTCTATTTTATTTTATCATTATTTTATATATGTTTTTCATTTTTCATGATATAAATATTTGAATTTCCATGAATCTTTTAACTTAATGTATATAAACTTTATAGAAATCGAAAGATACTTCAATTTATTTGAAAAAACGAAAGCAAAGAAAATGATCGAATATTTTGAAACGATAGAATATTTAAAAATTTTAAGATCGATAGTTATGATATTTATAATAAATAGATTTATATCAATGATGAGATATTAGAAACTTCAAAAATGAAATTCGATTTTTATAAATTAAAGCTCAGATTTCAATCTATCTCTATGCATAATTGTTACAATTAATTGTGATTATTGTTGTTAAAATTAAAAAGATGAGAATTTAAATTCCTTTTCGTTGTCTCTTATTTATTTCTATACTTAATTTGATATTTTTAAATATGAAGACTAAAAAAGATGGAATAGAGATGAAAAAAAGACGTATACTGGTAAAAATCTAAGAAAGGGAATTTGAGATGTTTAGCTTAGGTGCTCGAGCAGCACGTAGATTGCAAACGACGAGTCGACAGGACGTACGTGATTGCCTCATTCAGCGGATTGACCGACGCCGTTTGAATAGTGTAGTTAGACCAGATGTCTATTCTTTAACAGAGAGGCACGTACTCTTGAGCATGTTACACAGAACTTCCTTTGCTCAATCGGTTTTTCTCTCTTGCACACGTGCTCGCAAATTCTTTTCTTATTTAATGCAATCTTGTGGATTTTGATTCATTTTTTATTTATTCAAAAATCGCTTGAATTAATCGATTTATCAATTAATAAATAATATATAATGCATTTTCTTAAAATCTTAAATTATAAAAATTATACAAATGAAAATTGTCTAAAATGTTAAATGTGATGATATATATCTTTTTCCGAGAGATATTCCAAATTATTTTCAAAATCAAAGTTATCAATGATACGATTAAAATAAGTTTAACGATATGACAATATAATCTTCAAATCACATTCTACAATATTTTTATTTTATTTCAAATAGATTAAGTTAAGTGTTAAAAATTATGATTTGCAAAACATAAACAGAAATGAATCGTGAAATAAAAATGAAGAAATAATAAATAAATATATTGAGTAAAAATATTGAAAGTACTAAGTATGTATATCTTCTCTGGTCCTTTATCTGTCCTTTATAGGCCGAACGTTTCTTGTGAAGCGGGGTCAAGCTGAAAACGGTACGTGGTGACCGTGATCCGCTATCGATCGCGTTGTTGCTTTTATTAGTCTTCATTTCAAAGGACTAACGGATCTTTGTGTTGTTTTTTCATTCTTCGGCCGATTAATTCTTACAGTTCGAAATTAAAAATTTGTTAAAATCGATATTTAACAAAAACGAGAACAAATATAACAATATCGAACACGACAATCGAATTATTTCTAAATCAACGATATAATGAAGTGAAGTAAGTCGAATAAAAACTTAATCAATTATTTCAAGTCTGATTATAAAATAAACTCTCAGAATCTTCGATAAACATTAATTATATTTACGCTTTATGCGTAAAATACTAATAGAAATATTTTTTTGATTATAATTTTTCAGGATAGTGAAGATGAATTACCCGAATGTTCGGACCGAAGTGAAGTTTGCAGCAAGGTGGATTTATACGGATCACCTTGGGTCGAGAGGCAATGCCGTTGTCCGGATGGTCGTACTTGTCCCAGTAGTTTACACGGAGACGACGGACATACGATAGTTGATAAAACACGACAGTACAAGCTTTGCGAGCCGGTGAAACGTCTACCCATCTGTCGTTACTTCAAGTTAGTCGCGATCGTCCGTCTAATCGAGAGTATACATCAAGTAGCGGAACGATCAAACGTACCGATTCGCGAATGCTTTACGCGTCTAACACAGATATACACGCGTCTCGTATACAAGATGGCCGTTTACTGTTTACAGAGACGTCACATGGACCTTAGCTCCTGGAGGGGGACCAGCTAATGCAACGGTTCAGCGAGTTTATTGCCGATGCCGACCAGGCAGCGTACCTTATCTAGTTCGAAGACAAGCCTATAGGTCTTCTGAGGGAAACCCAGGATTTATTTATGCATTTGCGTGCTCTCCTCAAAGCGTAAGTCTTTTTCATTCGTTCGTATTCGCATTTGTGTTGGCGTACGCATTCCCATTCCCTTTTCCGCTTCCGTACGTGGTAAATATACATATGTATGGTATATTTATTCGTTACAAGCTCACGGTTCGTGCTAGGGATACGGAACTCTAACCTCATTTCATTTTTCTCGATAACATGATTATAAAGAATAAAAGATAAAGAAAAATTTACACTTCAAGTATATTTGAAAAAATTTAAATGCTCATTTCGTTATTCGCATATTATTCGCTTCATTGAAATCAAAAAGTATATAACGAAAAAATATATATATATGTATCTCGCATGCATGCATATATTTTGAACATCCTTGAATATGTTTGAATATTCAGAAGAATCTTTTCAAGCAAATTGCTGAAAAGATGAAAAGCCAAATAAATCAATTTTGAATTAAGTTAATTTTTTCAGAGATTACGCTGTCAGCACAAAGAACCTTGTCGATTGTTCACTGTACGAAAGAGACGGAGTTCACAGCTTGAAGAGGTAAATGCATCGCCTCTTTGTCAGTGTCCAAAAGGTCATCGATGTCCAAGAAGACACACCGACCCAGGTTCACTTCCAGCAAGATCCTATTCCGGTGTATTAGAAATTAAAACGTATAGTGGGTATTGCGTACCTTCGCAATCGCATCATTCTGAAGCGATTTATAACGTTTGAATTTAAAAAATTTAAAACTCAGTATCGCACTATTATATATACATGATCGTATAATGAAATAAGAGAAATCATCAACTTGTGATATTTGTGATCGGCATGTGCATTGTTGATGTGCATTATGAAACTGTCAAAGCATTCTTTTTCAAACAAGAAGAATAAGAACAAGAAGAAAATCACGGAAAGCGATTAACTTCAATTGATCCCAACTTTTGTATCAAACTTGGATCTTTTTGAATAATTTCCGTTCATTTTGAATCTATAATATATTTTGAATCTATAAGTTTACCGTCCAGAGAAAGAGAGAGAGAGAGAGAGAGAGAGAGAGAGAGAGAGAGAGAGAGAGAGAGAGAGAGAGAGAGAGAGAGAGAGAGCGAGCGAGAGCGAGAGAGAAAGAATAGAATCCATTAAATACGTTGAAATACCGCATTATTCTCTTGACTTATATATACTTATGCATCGAAATACATATGATATCATTTTGACGAGGAAATTAAATTTTTCTCGTTTTTAATCGAAAATAATAAAAAATATTTGAACGTTGAATATTTCGTTCGGTTTTGATGGGAAATATTTGTTATATATATTTGTATTGTATTATATAGGATGTTATATAATGATCACATATTTAAACTAAAAAACATTACTTATAACATCCCTATTTACTGATTGTTTTGGGAACGATGTTATCTGTGAATTGTATTCGGTATATTATATTGCTAAGAATTATGTAATATCGTGTTTGTAAATATTTAATTTTTAAAGAAGTGAAATAAATAAATTTCACTATTAACTGCGCCATCATTATTAATAACTATTACACTATTGCATAACTATAATTGTCATTTATTAATAAATTACAATTACTAATAGATTTATTATTATCAAGATTATATAATTAAATAAGATCATCAATTTTCTATTTCTTTAACAATATACGAATTAAAACAAAACAATAATTAAATTAGATTATGTCAAAATTCAAATTAAAAAAAATCATATGAATTAATAAATAATAAAATAATTATAAATTAATAAATATTAAATAAAATAATACTAAACATAATTTGAATTTAAAGAATCAAATTTGTTTCCCATTTTTTTCGCCTTTCATAAAAATAAATAAATTTTCTTCAATCGATAAATTAAATCTTTATATAGATACAAGTTTCCAACATGCAACGCTAGATGGCGAAAGTTTTAAAATTGTAAAGTACTAACGCTTTCTTTACATAGCTTAAAATCTGAAAGTTACCGATTAGAAATGTATGAATTGTGAGCAATAAAGTTAAACCAATGTTCGAATATTAATTTTTTGCATTTGAAATATATAATTTAATATTAAAATAATTTTTTTATATATTAAGCTACATTAATAATTAAATTAGCAGTTGATAATGTATTATTGTAATTATATATACACGTCATACGTAACAATTTGTGCTGAAAAAATATGAGTGTTCTAAAAAGCATATTTATCAAAAAATTATGATGTAAGAAAATTTATGAGAAAATATAAAAGTAATATGGAAAAGCGAAGGAAAAAAAAGAGATATTTAAAAATATGATTGTGAAAATTGATTAAAAATAGATATATTACGTGAATGCAATAATAATTAAAATAAATTTAATTGGTTGAATTTGCAATAGTTTATTACATATATTAATACGTTTCGATATCGGTTGTTCAAGTATAACATGTAAATTTAATTAAATCACTATTGTAGATAGTACGTATCATTTACACATGCATTATAATGTGTAAGGATACATTAAAGAAATCGTTACATAGATTGGTTACATTTGCAAGGGGAGGATCAGCATGTTACAGAGATCGGAGATGTAGGGCTAGAGTATGCAAAAAATCAAGACCATGTCAGATTACAAACCTATCGTTCAATGATCTGGTTTCGACGGTGCATAGATAAAATAAACTGGTAACTAGTTTCCCGATGAGAACCAGAATGATTTCATGCTCGATATATTTTTCTGGTATTCGATCGAACGCGTGAAAAGTAGCGGTACCGTTGCTATCGATGTTATTCGATTTGCTTCCGTTTTCGCTTTTTTCGAGTACGGTTCATGCGCATGCGCAATTAACTCCATGTAAATTTAAATACTTGGCTCATATATACGTTTGTTAATTTAACGGTAATATTAATTCAACTGGCATTTGCAATGAAGAAAAAAACAATAAGAATAAGAATACGAATCTTTTCTTATCGAAGTATGTATATTTCATTAATCCCCATGAGATGAAAATTAAGAGGAAGAGATAATTAAAAAGAAAAGATACAGATACAGAGTAAGAAAAATATAATAAGAAAATAAGCAAGAAACCAAGGAAAAGGAAGTAAAGCGTGGGAACGGAATAAGACGAGAAGGAAAAAAAGGTTGCATTTACACTTCGATCATCGAAGTGTACTGCACTTTTTTTTTTTTTTTAACGATCCGGTACGCAAGTTTTTTCTACAACCAGGTTTGTTACGATTCTCTTCTGTCAAATTTCGTCCCTAATAACTCTCTCTTCGAAAATAATATATCTACAGCTATCGATCTAGAGTATTCAGTCGGTAGTGGATAGGTAGATGTGTCGATGGAGGAGCAAAGGAAGGTAGAGGATTGGCGGAGATGCAGCTTAGGATTCCACGCATAGTCAAGGAGTCTCTGGTTGGTTGGTAAGTGGGACTAGTCGGGACTCATAGGCAGCATGTCTCTTCTACGAGGCTCACAGTCCCATTCGAAACTCTGAAACGCGTCTAAGCGTGGCGTGTTCGCTTCCTCGGACAAGTTCCTCGTCGCTCGTATATAATATATTTCCTTCTCTTTTAAGATTCCTGGATGGAACAAAAAAATCTCGATGATGCGGAAATATTTGAACGATAAGACCGTAATTTGAATCGCTCGAAACTCCGTCAAAGCGAGTGTCGAGCGTTCGATATATTTATCGTGAAAACTTCTGATCATCGAAACATCGCCGGAACGAATAGTTTGATCGATCTATTTCTCGTTCCATTATCGATCTTTTCTCTCACGAAAGAAAGGTGGTCGCCGTCCAGCTATAGTCGCGCACAACCGCAGCCCGGGAAAACTGCTATTATAACAGGCAACACTGCGAAGAATCGAAACTAGCCAGAAGACTAGATCGAGGTTGTGCTCGGGGGTCGGGGTCGAGGTCGAGACCCAGATCAAGATCAAGATCGAAAATCGAGGTCGTGGTTGGATGGTCGAGGGTGAGTTCTGAGGGTCTATTTATCCTTGATATTTTCTTCATCTTCTATATTATGCGATCATATATCATGAATCGCTGACGATAAGTATATTTTTTCTTCGTTAAGATCATTTACTTTCTCTAAGTAGGAAACGATTATGCACACTTTCAAACTAGCGTTAAGGCTAAAATTTTATTTAATTTTAATCCATTTGAACCGTTGAGACATTTATTTGTTTTTATGGCAGAAACATCAGGATGTGACTAATTAGAAATGGAAATAATTCCTTTACTCGAGATAAAAAAAAAAAAAAAAAAAAAAACAAAGAAATTACATATTTGAGAAGTTGAAAGTAATCTTTTCTAAATCGAGGTCATGCGAATCACACGTACAAATTCCATAAATTCTCATAGATTCTTCATGTAATAATTAAAAATGTTGAACAGAAATGAAGAAAAAAATAAATACAGGAAGAGAGAGAGTGAGATATATTCATTGAAACGAATTCACTTTAAACTTCCTAGATAAATCAATCATATTTCTGACTTCTATTGAAAAAAAAAAAAAAAAAAAAAAAAAAAGAGAAAAAGAACACAGGGATGCGATAAACTTTGAGTATTTTCACGTTTGATTTCCATATGACGTATGATGGGATACCGTTCGTTATAAGTGTCGACGATGAAACAGGTGCGAATAAAAGAAATAAAATGAATGTATAAAGTTTATAAGTGTAAAAGTCTTCAGCTTTATCCTCATCAGAGTTATCTCTTGATCATAGTTCTCAACTTGCTGTTGTAATTCATCTGATAATATTTATATGTATAACTGTTTCATTGTACTTTTGAAATGCGCATAAAAGCTAATCCAACGGATTCAAATCTTATGAAAGGAGTGAATAAACATATTTGTTATGCTGTCACAGACTCATAATTTTGACATTAATAATATTTGATCTATTAGAATTTTTTTGCCTATTTTATAAATATTACATATTTCTGAAATTATATATATTTCTAAAAAAAAAAAAAAAAAAAAGAAACAGAAAATAAAGAATTTTTCATAATAATCGTCCTAGATAATACAAAATAATAGACAATTAAATAACTCGACGATTCGATAATAAAAAAGTGAGGTTAGGTTTCTCTTCATTGGATTTCAGATGTATTTAGATCGCAATGTAGATTGAAATTTGAAAAAAAAAAAGAAAAATTACATGTCAAAAAGAAATATATATAAGAAAAATTTAGAAATAAAATAATATTTATTTTATCGTCATTAGAATTTGCGCGTAAAAGAAATCGAAAATAAGTGAAAGAAGAAGCGAGTACATATAACGCATTGAGGGTTGTAATTAAGTAGATACAGTTGATCCCAAAAGTATTCAGCCTCTGTAAATATTTCACTAGTTGCTTCTTAATAAATATAATTTTTCATTCTATTCTATTTCCTATCTAAAATAATTATATCATAGAAGTAATACGACATGTTAAAAAATTGACATTCACCTTTTTTCAATCGATGTATAATTCTTCGTAAAATATACGGAATATCCTGTGCGGCTATAATATCTTTGGAATCAACTGTAAGTACGTTAACTGCTCGAGTGGATTTTACTGGTCATTGCATGCCGCGGCCTTGAACATGCAAAGGAAGATAACGGCTTGCGAGAAATGTAACAGGTTAACCTGATTTCACTGCATCCGCATGGTGAATATGCGCGGTGCTATAATTACCGCGACACGAGCGACACGAGCGGCGAGTATGTAACGAGCAAATGAATCGTAAAAACGTCAAATATAATATATTAGAAACGCTTATTATGCTCACTACTACTTATTATTTATAGTTTGCACTTTTTCGATCAATACACGCAACACACAAAAGGTAAGATTTATTAAATAGATCCCTTCTTTTTCAAGATGTATTTACTCACTTTTCACTCTCACTGTGTATCCATATAATATTCAATTCTCTTCTTTGAATTAGAAGAGAAGGGGGAAAAAATTTTCTTCGAAGAATTAACTCGCGAATTCTGGAACGCGGTTTCGAAAAAAGGAAAAAAAAAAAAAAAAAAAAAATAGAGGGAAAGGCGAAGAGAGAAAGGAAGGAAAGATGGATGGCTACGAGGAAAACAAAAGAGACGAGATCAAAGGTGAAGATTCCGTGGTATAATGGCAGAGAAGAATAGGAGGCACACGTGACCTGCGTACACAAGCACGCTATAGTGTGTTCAAATTTAACGATTCAATTGAATGTCGAGAAAATCGCGCCCCATTATTTCTCTCTCCCTCTCCTCCTCCCCCCCCCCTCCCCATCTCACTCTCTGATGCATAAAAAAAATTCCGATACCGTTAAGGAAGCTTGAACTTTCCCTCTGCATTCGATCGTTTTCCTTCTTTTTCTCCTTCTTCCTTCTCTATATCATTTTTCCTCCCTTCTAATAGACTCTTTCCGACACAGTCTACTCTTTTCGTTTAGAAAGACGAGAAGATGGTATTTCCCGGTATACCGTGAAAGCTAGAGGAAAGAAGCGAGCGCGTGAGAAAGGAAGATATCTGAAACGAGATTCCATGCGATCTCTCGTTCTATCATCTTACAATCTGCATCTCCGATTCACGCTTCTGCTATTCTCTCTTTTCCAGGGCATTAAATTAGAAATAATTTAAATGATACTCAAAATAATTCAATGTTATCGATTGATTAATTTCAGTGATAATAAAAAATCCATTTGCTGAAAGGAGAGGACAAAAATAACATCGAATAAATCTAATATATGCTAATATATATATATATATATATATAATGATTTTATTTCTAGAAGATACGAGTTTGAGAGAAAAGTCACGTTGAAGAAAATCTATTTCCTCGATCTTCAATCTTCGCCAAGAACGAAATGAAGTCCAGCATTCGAGCGGCCATATGGTTAGTCCCGTTGGCAGTCGGATGCATGGCTCTGCCGCCGCAATTACAGGCCGATCTGATGAGTAGCGGGAAGATGAAATACCGGCGTGCGAAGGCGCCATCGTATTTCAACGAAGAGGAGTCGAGCAGTTCGGTGATTGCATCGAGCGGTAGCGGCATCGATGAGAACAGCATCGGCCCCACTACCATTAGCAACGTTGCAAAAATCAGCAATGGCGGCGGTAGCAAGAACGTCGATGCCATTATATCAAACCCGCTTCCTCCTCGCCGCGTTTCCGCCACGATTAACGGCGACTCGATCACCACGCTCCTATCCTCCTCCTCCTCCTCGTCCTTGCCGTCGGCGGTGACGACGTCGACGCCGGCGTTAACAATGTCATCGTCGACGGGTCACGATTCCTCTTCCGCCGAGCTCGCGACGGGCGGCTCGTCGACCTTGTCGATCGCGGACGCGAAAACGGAATGGGGAGCACCGTCGTCGGTGAGCAACCGTGGCACGACGACCACGAGAACGACGATGAAGATGTCGACAACGGCGATAAATACAAGCAGCTCGAATTTAACCACGTTCCCCACCGAAGCCTCATCGAGAACGATCGCTTCGAATCGAGACGCGAGCACCTTTTTACCTTCCTCGAAGAAATCGACGACTAGCTTCAACGAAATTACCACCACCCCTGCCTCGACCTCGTCGAAAGAAATGAGGGAATCCACGGGCAAGATCCGACCCCAGATCAAACTGACGATGAACTACACGAATCTTGGCGAGGTGAGTAAATAAAATTATTACTTCATCCTGATTTTGCTCTTTCCTTTCCTTTATTTTCTCATTTTTCGTTACGAGTTTCCATCTTTTGTATAAACAATTCTTTGATTATGAGTTGTAAAAAAAGAAGAAGAAGAAGAAGAAAAAAAGCTATTTGCATAGGTTTTCGAATTTTATGGTTCTGTAAAAATATTAATTTAAAAATGCAAATGATAGAATGAATATATAGGAATATATAGGATTATATATAAGGAAAAATGATCGACTACTTTCTAAAAGTAATATTATCCAAGAACATCGGATTGCAGATAGATCGTATAATATGATTGTGTAGTTAGAAGCAATAATAATGAACCATTCATACTAAATTGTATTCTCTTTAAAATCTTCTCTTTTTCTAACTCTTAATTGATTCATGTATGGATCTTTCACACTCTATGTCTTTGTATATCTACACGTGCTCGCTCTCACTCACATTCACTCGTTTAATCGCTCATTCATTCGTTTGTTCAATTCAAACAAATTATGCAATGATTCTTGAAAAATACTTAACTATATCCATTCAATAACACGGATAATCAGAAATTCAACGTTCAACGTATTAAAATTTCACATAATAAAAAAAATGTTATACGCGCCTATTATTCTAGATCAATCAATCTTCATTTATTCTATTATTATTATTCAAAAAATTCTATACCTTTTCTTTACTTTTCTTGTTTGAAACTTTACTAAAAATTCAAGATAAAATAAACGATGATCTGATAAAAATTTCACCTTAATCGATTTAAAAAGAATAAATAAATTATATATTCAAGAAATATTCGATTATTTTGAACAATTATTTTTGAGAAAAAAATTGCACTTCTCTATTCAATGTATACAATATTGTTCCTTCTTCTTCTTCCTCTTTCTTTCTCTCTTATTTTTTTTATTTTCTTCTCTCACGAGAATGAATCATCTTATTTCATTTGTGTACTTTTAAACAGGATGGATTCTATACGCGGAACATTTCACGCGCAAAATATAACTGTTTAAGCTATAACTATGTTTAACTATACCATAAGTACCGTAACTACACTGCTATAAAGCGGTTAAGTTTCACAGGTCAAAGATGTGTTGCAACTAAATCATGCACTTTGTTTAACCAAAACAAACTATTCTTCTCCTGTAATGAACTTCACCATTTTTTTCTTTTTGCCTGAACAATTTCATTTTCCTTTATCTATTTCTTATTTTATCCTTTCTCATCCTCTTTCATTCCAAGTCATTGACACGATATCCGGTAATTATTTTAATAAGGATCGAGTTGCGTTTTTTATCCGGAAAATAATTTCACACGAAATATATATTACTATTTCATGATTGGAAAATCAGATTGCATCAAATGTGAAACATTCTCATGTGTATTATATTTTATATTAAACAATTAATAATTTTTTATATCGACTTTATTTTTATAAACGACAAAAAATAAAGCAAAAACGTGTAGCAAATATAGAATTCAAAATTTAAAAAATTTCGAATTTTTTTCTATTTTTGTGATTCGATATTTTAAAAAAAATAAATATTTTCAGTTTCAATTTTGAAAAGTTCATATATGAGATTGAGGTTAAGAGGAAGATAGGAATAGAAATAAAAATGTTATAAACACACAATTTCACGTAATAAAATATGATAAAGTAATAGATATAAATTTCTTGTGAGTTAAGTTGAAAAGCGAGTTCAACAATATCAAAATTTTATTTTGCAAGCAATTTACACTGGAAGGAAAGAAAAAAACTATTAAAAGTAGCCTAAAAGTTTTTATTTTAAATATGAGATTATTTTGATAGAATATATTATTAAAAATAATATTATATATATATTTTATAACGATAGACGTTTAATATTAAAATATTGCACATATTGTATATATAAAACATTATTTTGATAATAAAAAAAAAGAGAGGAAATTAGTTTCAATCAAGATAATTATGTCTTGAGATTGGTTATCAAGAAATAAAAATGAACAAAATTATAATTATCTTACGATTACGATTATGATTATAAAATATTATATCGATCATATACCTTCAATAAAAGTTTAATCAAATCAATCGATTCTTCTGAATGTATTTCGATATTATCAACGCCATCTACGAATTTAGCGAATTTATCGAAATTACAGTTCGCGCGCAAAACTCGTGAATCGTCGCGACACGTAACATAACCTGTATAAGTTAAAGGGATGAGACAAGATTCTAAATATATTCTTCGACTGGATATTGATCATATCGTTCATCAATTTAGATATTGATATTAAATTCAATGTTTTTTTTAGAAAATTGTCACGAATCGCATTGCTCGTTTTAACGTTTCAAAAGGAGGGCAAGTGTTCATGACCGTGACGTGCGAGCGGATCGGCTGATGTTAATATCGGTAGTGGAACGTGACGATACCAAAACAAGCAGAAAAGAATGAAAAGAGGAAGAGTATGAAGGGAAAAGAAATAAAAAAAAAAGAGGATAAAGAAGGTATCGAACGACTTTGCTACACGCTTTTATTGTAATTGCTCATTCAACTGTACGTGTTCGTAAATTATATCTGTATACTACGTAGATAGTATATGTGTTCGTAAGACAATTTTCTCGATCCGCTTTGAATGATGAAATGTATTCAGTTATGAAAATAGCTGTTCTAGATTAATATTATACGTGGTACATTTTAAGCAAAAAATAATCGTTAATTATCAATCTTATGATTAACTGGATGAAAAACCGGACTAATGAAACGTAACGATAAAAGTAAGAATTTAATTTCTTTAACGGCATTCTATTAAATAAGAAATAAATAACTACTTTGTACAATAACGAAAAATAACGAAAAAGAAAATAATGATGGTTATTGAAGTAGTTCTTTGTTCGTAACATAAAATCGATTATTCGAAGATTTGAGAAGATTCTTAGAAATTGGCAAAGAATTAGAGAATACCGGACATTAACGTCGGCATCCGTACTGAAATGCTCTTGGAATTATACCTTTAGCAATATTATCATAATGGAACAATCAACTTTGTGGTTCACCAAGAATCATCAAGAATCATCACGATCGTGAATTCACGACACGACAAATTTCTATTCTAGTCTTTCCTATTTCTTTTTTCATTCCTCCCTTTAATTATTAAAAAATTTCGGTTTCAAGTTTAATTCAATTTTCATCGAATCTAGAAATTCGATGCCATGTCTAACAAAAATGCTTGTTTATCGATCGATTCATAGACTGGGGTACGATTACCGGAGGGTGCGAGCGCAGCTCTTGCAAAACCAACCAAGTATCACTACTATCCACACAATCAGCATATCTACTTGTTACCAGAGTGCGCGGTACAGCAAGTTTGCAATGCCGTTTACGTTAGGCTGAATTTTACTCAGCCTCTGTGCGCTTGTCCAGGAAGATACCGCGACCCTTGCAGCGCCTCACTCGACAGCGACGATCTCCACACTACCGAGCTGGTCACCGACCCACGAACCAAGGTTAGTCGCCTTGCCGCACTATCCTCTTTACTAGACCTTTCTTTATTCCTTTGCTTCACCGTGTATCTCTTCTCTCGAGTCTAGAATGTTTCTCTTTTTCTCGTTACGCTTATCGAACCTCGTTACGTTTAACACAACGAAACGAAAGGAAAAGAAACGAACGGAACGATACGGAACAGAAGTCAATTCGGTTCAATTCATCGAAACGTCGGATTTTGCGCGTAATTCAAATTTTCTTCAAATTTCTCCTCACTCTTACGTAAATCGTACAACGGTTCCAAAGTTTGGATTCGATCTTATCGAAATGTGTGAAGCGAAGAGACGTAATTTAATTTAATTTTTTTTATCCGAGATTGACGTAACGTAAATTTAATCTTTGACGTTTCATCATCTCTCGTAACTCTTTTTTTTTCTTTAATTTTTTTTTTTTTTTTCGTAATATCTGATTAATTATTTTTTTTTTTTTAAATGATTACTTTTAAAATCTCTATCGCCAATTTTACAGACACGTTTTCTCTTTCTCCAATCAAAAAAACGTCGTACAATTTTGGGACGAAAAATTAGTGGCTATTAGTTACAGACGATGATTGTCATTAAACGTTTGATACACGATAAGTTGTTCAAACGTTTAGAAAGTTAATAATACCGAGATATAAACAATTTATGTACACTACTTATTATGTGGGATTATGGGAACTGGATGTGGATAGATAAAATCGTGTAGATGTTCCAATATTCCCAGACGAGAGTAATTTCTCTCTCTCTCTCTCTCTCTCTCTCTCTCTCTCTCTCTCTCTCTCTCTCTCTCTCTAGCTGATTCGTTCTTTTCTTTCTCTCTCTTGCTTTTCTTTAACATCATACACGAATACACGATAATTATTTACTTTTATTTATTTATTTATGTAATTAATTAAATTACGTCAATTCTATGAGAAGATAGGAAATCGAAAACAATCTTGTCTATTAAAGTATATATTTCAATTCATGATCTTAAAAAAAATAATTTTCAAATTTTAAATATAAACTCGATTAATCTTATCTCCGACCGTCTACATTTTTTCTCTCATCTCCTCATTTAACCTCGAGAATACCATATATATATATATCATGTGCCCGCGGTGTAGAAACAACGAAAGTCAGACGTACGAGAGAAAAAGAAGCGACAGAACGATGGCAGAAACCTTTCTAGAGAGCATAGCGCGTATACAAAAAAAAAGTATGCTTCTTCACTTTCAACCAGTGTAACGAGTTTTCGAAATGTTAAACTAATGTTTTTTTATCCTAAATAATCCTGATAAATCCTAATAATTATCTTAAATAAACTATCCTCTGCAACGATAGAAAGACCATGCCAACTCAAATATCTTTATTATTAATTAGAATTTGAAAGTTAGTTTCTAAATTTAATCGTTTAAATATTAAGCGATCAGAAATGATTTTTCTTAATTGAAAAATAAATTTTTTCTTGCATTTGTATTTGCACATACAAATTTGTTTCATAAAAAGGAATAACTTAAAAAAAAAAAAAAATGGCGCATTTGTTAATTGAAATTTTCTCTCTCGATTTAGGCTCTAACATTGGTGAAAACATGTGAACCGGTGGCGGAAATGCGCGAATGCAGAATACCAAGAGACTGGTCTCTCCTCGCGCTACAAAACGTACGAACAGGGAAATCTCATTATCTCGTTATATGTCGTTGTCCCGACGCCAATATATTGGGTAAGAAATACGAAGAGAGGAAGAAACAATATTTTCTAATTTTGAACACTGATAATATTCTTGTGAAACAACATTATCTTCTTGTGAATCAAAACTATCCTTTTGAAATATTTCGAAAATGATCACATGTAATCACATATTTTATGTGACTTTATATTTTAACACGAAATTTGATATAATACAATATATATATATATATATATGTATGTATAGAGGGTCCTATGAGTCACGATCAACCAACATACGCGAGCGTACCAGGAATACGTGTTTACGGGATGATGTGCGTGCAAGGGAATCGAAAAGGACGACCATTAAGATATAAACGCAGTGTTTCAGGTATGCGCAATAGATTTTTGCGCATATTAATCGTAACAATTATACCGAATGGTTGATTTCAACAAATTTCGTCTCTACAGATCATTTCCATCGAGAGATTGACGAGGAGTCTGCTGCATACAGCGACAGTGAAGAGACGAATGAACGATTGAAGTTTCCATGGTACAAAGTACGGCAACTAATGGATTCAATTATTTGGGATTAGATTTATTAGCTAAACTTCCAAAATAAGAAAAGAAAAAAAAAAAAAAAGAAAAGAAAAATACGATACGATAAATAATTACATTATGCTTAGCGTCATTTCACATTTTATTTATTAAGCATCTCTCCCTGCTTCGCTTCGCTTCGTTTATTTATCGATCCATCTATTTTTTAATGTTTATTTATATATCACGTTATATTATATTGTACCAATTGTACGTCAATAATACCCGTAACATCCATTCTGATATATTAAAGTAATGTGACAAGAGTGTCAAAGCCATTTCTTTGATAGACTTGTATTTTGTAATTTGGATTACACGACGTGATCGTATATAACGATCGAATGTGCAACGAACGTTGAATATATAATTGCTATTACTATGATATTGTATACCCTGGTTCAAACTGATTTGAACAACGACTACATTCCTTCGAGATGATGAATGGATATAGAAACTTCTTTTGGCACTGTTCCAAATGTGCCTACTTTATCAACCGAAGATAAATATAAAAAATCATAATACCTTTTTCTTCGCGATCAGACATATCTCATTATCTACTCTAACATTTTAAAAATCTATCTATGATTTTTTTTTTAACAAAAGAATAAAATCATGATATTTTCACATTATTTCACACGATAAATTGCTTTTGATTTTTCATAGAAATAGCTGTTAAAATAAAATTTTTTTTCAAAATTATTATTGTTCAGCTTATATTCTGATTTTTTGCCGATGCGTTATTCAATGAAACCAATGAACGATGCACAAAAATCGTGATTACATCGAATAATATATTTCTTGTACTTGATTATTTAATGGACACTATGATAAAAAAAATCGAGAGACAAAAATTTATTAGGTAGATTAGAGGATAATATTATATTTGATTATAAATATCATATTTAATTATATTCTGTTAACTTAACTCTCTAATATCATATGATTTTTTTATCTATTGAGCAGATTTTTCTACATTTTTATGAATTTAAATTACTCTATTTAAATTACTATTTACTATATTTTAAAATAATATTATATATAAAAATTTCTTACAAATTTATAACTGCAATAGTTATATTTTTAAAAAATATTCATTAAACAATAAATTGTTTCTTTGTTTCTTTACAAATTTTTTTGTTTTAATAATGAAAGATATATATAGAAAAATTCGATAATATGCATATCTTCTAATTGACCTAATAATATTCATTAATTCATGATAATCAATCTTTTTTTCCTTCCATTCATTATAATTTCAAATAGGAAAGGTACAAAACAAACAATGAAATTGAATAAATAAATACAAAAATATCTGTTTAGAATTTATCTCACTTACCCAATACGTCCGAATTGACTAAAACACTGCAGCTATACATAGGTGTAACTAATCGAGGATGTCTTGAATTGAAAGCACGGCGGCAAGCTTCTTTGCATGTCGACATCAAATGACCACCATCCACATGTCCTTGATTTTGATGTCCGTTATTTTCACTAATAACACATTTTTTTTTTTTTTTCAATATTCGATTCTATCATCGAATTAAACAAAAAGTAATAATACGAAAAAAATAGATAAATATTAAGAAACATTAATTTACTATACGAATAAAATGTATTTATACCTTTGAGAATCTTGATAAATTTCCCATTTCTTCACAACAAAACAGACACCCATCATAGGTTCTTCGCATAGAGGTCCAGCAAGCGTTGCCAATTGAAAACCGTTGACCATACCACTTTCATAACTATATCATAGATAATATAAGTTTAAGTATCAATTTAGAATGTTTGATTACGTTTATTAATGATATAAAATACTTTAAATTTATTTCGCTTAATTGTTTTATTTAATATAAAGAGGAGAGGAAATATGTGAAGTCAAAAATGAATATTTATTATAATTATATTAGTTTTCTTCTAAAATTTAATTTTTCTACGTTGATGAATACTCACGGAGCACGTGAATCCGTAGACTTTGAATGGCCTTCCCAAAATTTTCTCTGTTTGTAGTCGGTTTCGTTTAACAAGATGTTAAGACCACAATTTCGTGGCCCGAATGACCATATTTTATCTAACACATCCTTTTGTCCCGCTTCTCGAAATGCAATCGCCAATTCAGTTTTAAACGTTTCTAATGCCCGTTGTTTCTTTTCCGACATCGAACACAATGATTCCATTTTCAGGTCCAATGCAATTTTTCCACTTTCTTCCTCTTTGTCTGAACGTGATTTATCATAATGATAGAACAGCTTTATTAAATCCACGTTTTTTTCCAAAATCTTAGTTACCTTTTCCGGTAAAGGTCTCGCGTCGATTTCAAAGTAACACTGTCGATTCGCTGTCCAAGTAGTAAAACTAACATCCTCGGGTTTTTTTTCAATCGCTTCGTTTACCATATCAACTTTCGGAGGAGGTACAACCGTTTCTCTAAATGGTACGATAGGTTCCGATACGTTTACATCAACTCTCGCATATCGTAACTTCAAATCTTCCAAACACCTTTCCAAATGCACTTCTCCAGCAGTGTTCAATACTATTTCCCCACTCTCTTGAATGTGAACAATGGCACAGGCATCTGCTTGATTAAGCAATTTCAAGCCGTTGATCAATGGCTGCAAATCATTCGGATGTTTTGGTTCGAGTGCAACACGCATTATGGGTACACCGAGTGAAGTTAGTTCCGAAAAAGATGGACAAGCAATGGTGGTGGAAAGGGTCGCTGTCTTTAATACATGATCCTCCAGATCACCAATTCCGAATACGTTACCAGAAAATATTTTATCGGCAGGTTCTAATTCTCTGCCCATCAAAAGGTATAGTTTTCGTATAGTAACTTTAGTCACGTGTTTTCCAGGTTTTAAATCTTTTAACGTGATATCCTCGTCTATCACAGATTCGCCCGCTTTTTGTCGTTTCAATATTTCGCGTGGATCATGTTTTGGACCTAAAACGTATACACTGCATCCCTCTCTTAAACATCCAGAATAAATCCGAGCGAACGCTATTAATGTAGTTTCGGAATTTTCATCTTCCTCATCGATTTCTTTCGAAACCATATTTTCTGATTGCGAAGATTGACCGCCGTTTAAATTGCTGGTATTAATATCTTGCTCTGTATTTTCAGCCATTTGTTGTTTCATCATTTTTTCCGCGTGTTTTGTTCGTGCTATTTCTCTTCGTTGAGCCAACTCTTCCGAGGTTAAAGGTTTCGGTTTATTTTCTGGCAATACTTTTTTCTCTACTGGAAACATTTTCGATATAAATACAACGATAGGTGAATCAGGAGAAGGATCGCAAGCTAAAAATGTCTCTTTTAATTGTCTCGTTTCTTCTGGTAATGCAGAGAAATCAAAGTTTCCGCTTAGTAAACGTTCTACCTTCTCTGAAGTTAAATTATGCGGCGCTGGAACTTTTTCACATATAACATCGAGGCAGGCACGAGCCAAAGGTAACCACTGGGAACAAACTGCTTGTAATTGAGCCCTACAATCTGTATGCCTTAAATCTCTTGTTGTCAACTTAATATCCATTTTTTTAGCCATTGAAGCTACTTTTTCTTTATCCTTACGAACAGTTATTGTTTCATATAAAGACCAAAGATTATCCAAAATAAGTTGAACAAATAGAGGTTTTTTTGCTTTCTCTTGAGCTCCTTTCATTATTCTTTTTGTTTTAGTATTTACATAATAATCTCCCCAAAGTGTTTTCAATAGAACCTTTTCGCTAAAGCCTAATTTGGCTGAAAATATATTGGCAAATTCTTTGATGCCAAATCCCCAGCCATCTGTAGCACTGGAAAATAAGACATTACCTTGTTCAGGAGAAAAATATAAGTTGGAATCATCTATATCTTCTAGAACAGATTGCCAATCTGCTAGATTCCTCTCAGAAATATTTTCCATTTTTTCTTTTCTCAATTCTTCTTTTTCTTCACGTTCCATTACATCACTGGCAAATAATTCTCCCATTACAGCATTGACCTGTTCTAAAACTTGTGTTAAATGCACATAAGCATCTAATGCAGACAATTTCATTTCTGTAATCAATCTATCTATTTTATTTAGTACTAAAATTGGTTTTAAACCTTCTGTATAAGAAATAGATAATGCGCTACGTGTTTGTGGACATACACCTTCTACCACATCAATCACAATGATGGCACCATCACAAAGTCTAACAGCTGTTGAGACTTCTGAAGCAAAATCTACATGCCCTGGAGAATCAATTAAATTGATAGCAAATTCTTGACAATTATATTTATGATAAAGAGTAATAGAGCTCGATTTCATTGTAATTCCTCTAAGTTGTTCATCGGGACGACTATCTAAATATCGTAATTTACCAGCAAGTTTATTAGAAATAATTCCATTGCTAGCAACCAAGGAATCTGCCAAAGTCGTTTTGCCATGATCTACATGAGCTAATATACAAATATTTCTTATATTAGCTGGTTTGCTTTGAATTTCACTTAATTTTTCTGCACTAATGAGTCGCATTATGTGATTAATTGTGATTCTGTGATTAATTCATAAGCAAATATAAATGTGAATTTTTGAAGCATTGATAAATGTGCAAATATAAAATACAATATGAATATTAAACTGAATGATAAATCTTGAAGATTATAAGATGTGTAACACTGTCGATTTTATCAAACAAACGAAGAAATGATATAAGTACGTCGAAAAATAAAGTCTAATGTATAATATATTTTTATGTATACGATGTACTTATGAATGTATTAGCTTGATAAAATAATAGTAAACACTATTTCACTTTATTTTGTTTCCACAGTACGTAACGTTCGACAAACACAAGGATGTATCGTAGCTTTGTTGACATCGTCGTCGTCTTCCAAAGCATACCACTTGTTTCAGTTGCTCAATCGGTCGCAACACTGACAGATTATTAGTCAGAAAATGACGGTTGTAATTATTTCTTTTTTTTTTAATCTCACTGGACATATATTTGCTAAAGGAGAAATCTTTTTGACACTTTTCTTTATCTTCACAGGTTAGAATCATTAATATAAAATATTACTTTGTAGCTTGATCTTTTATCTTTTAGAATCTTTAATTGTGTAACCAAATATTGTTTTCAATCGTTACAAAAAAATTAATTTTAGCATTGCTTCGAAAAATTCCGAAATAAAAAACGTGTCGAAAATTTAGCGTGCACCAAAAATCATATATGTAGTCATAACACGTAACGAATAAATGCTCGAATTGTTTCTACTTTATTACTTTTATCAATTAGTCATGAAAATTGCTCGAAAACAATCGTTATTAGCCTTATCAGAAATTGATAAACAATATTAAAACCTTATGCAAGAAAATTTCAGTTATAAGACATGTGTTATATGATATAAATGCACATGCGCAGAAGTATGAAATTTTGTGCCATCTATGACTATGTTCTTTAGCGCATTTATATAGAAAAAAAAAATGATAAATTTTAGAATAAATAGTATTCGCTAAATCGAATAAAGTTATTTAAAATAGATCAAAAAACTAAGATTATAAAAAGATAAATCATTTTTTATTTTCATTTAAAATAACTTTTTGAATGATTTAAGAGTTATTATTTCACATGGAAATAATTATCTTAACATTTCTTGTTTACTTTTTATTTTTTATATAAATATATAAAAATTAGCTCGAATAGACTTTCTTAATATTTTCTATTGATAAGTTAGAAAATAATAAATGTAATGAAATGCAAAATTATTATTAAATTTTGCAGAATAAAAGAAAAAGGCAAATAATGGAAACAGATAAAGATAAAGTAGGAAAAATTATGGAATTAGCGTCATCTCTAGTGTTATAGATAAAACAAACTAAAGAAGAAAAGGAAGTAATAGAGGTAAATAAAAGATGGAGATAGATTAAAGGTATTCAAATCAGCGCCATCTGCACAATATCATAAATGAAACACACAGAAAAGGATAAGAAGAGATAGAAAGATAGAGATAAAGTAAGAATTGATCACCAGCTCTATCTCTTGAGAGAAAGATTCTTCAACTAGAATAAAATAGGATAAGAATTGAGGATTAGTATCATCTCTTGATTTTTGAAAACATGTATTTAGTATTCAAAAAATGATGCTGGATCATCAATTTTTATTATCTTATTTTACTTTTGATATTTTAATTTTTTAAGAGATGGCGTTGATAATTTTTACTATATTCTGTCTTTTTTATGTGTTTCATTTGCAACATTTAGATATAATGCTGATTCTTCAAATTTTTATCTTATCTCCATTTTTCTCTCACTATTTTCTCTATTTTTCTATACTTATTCTTACAATATTCGCGATTAGAATATTAATAATTATATATGATTAATTATAGATGAAATATTTTGTCTATGACTACTTATAAATGAATAAAAAAATTATTATTAACCGAAAATGGATAAGAAAATATTCAAATGTTTTTTGATCCTTCAAATAACTGATATCCTTGAATTAATTTGTTTAAAAATAAAGAGCAAATTATCTAGGAAAATAATATAAGAAAAAAACTGTGATAAATTTTATTATACAATAATTATAAATACAATACAGATTATATGTACAAAGATTTTTATAAATAATTTAAAAACCATAATAGCTTAGAAATTGATTTAAAGAAAATAACAATTTAACAATATTAATTTGATAAAATTATATTTTAATATAATTCAGAAAAGATTTCGAATTTCTTATTATTTACATTGTACGTTTTAATTAAGCGTTTTAATTAACGTTATCGCATTTTAATTTAATTTATGAAACATGAATATAGATATATATAAAATACATATCTAAAATATACATATAAAATACATTATGCCTATCATATTTTTAACTATAGTAATGAATAACATTACAAAGAGCAAAAAAGGCAAAAAAAAAAAAAAAAATAAGATAAATAAAGAACAGAAAAGGAAAGAATAATGGATAAAAAAAGAAACAAAATAAAGAGAAGAAATTAAATTTAGGATTCATTTAGTAATAACTGATGTTTCTTCATTAGTTATTTTTTCCATTTTTTCTTTCTTTTTTAATGCACGCTTTCTTATATTACACATGGTCTTACAAACTAACCAAAGCGTACCTTTTTCGCATATGTAACGTAAAGCATTTACAGAGGCGACTAATAAACCATGCGGCAAATAGCCTGATGTACACAATTCAAGACCAATTGTTTTTAGTGTATGTTTTACATATTTCTCTGGAGTTGGCGCCATCCAAGTAGGTTTCCTAAAAATATATTTTTATATATAATATTTATATTTTTTATATATAATATATGAAAGATATTTTATTTATTTTGGATCTCTTAATATATAATCTTTGATAGTTTCGATTAGTCGTTAATTTCACTGATAAAAAAATTATGTCACGATAAAGTTATTTCGTTTGAAATGACAAATATTGAGATAATGATAAGGCTTTTTTCATGAGTCGAATTTATATAATTGTTATTGCTTAAGAACTTCAAGAAATAAACATGTTCATATTTGGAAATAATATTATAGTTTTAATTACATTATGGTTTATATATTTTTTTTTCATTTTTCTCCAATTTTTATTGTTATTTAAATTTTTAAAATTTTTTTATTACTATAACCGATAAAGAATAAATTTCAAATAAAGTTTATTCTCAATATGATTATCTCATTACTATTATTATATGCAGTGATTATTTAAAAAATAAATTATTTATAAAATAAAATTAATAAAATTAAAAAACAGAGTATATATAGAGGATTATAGAGTTAAAACAAATATAAAGATTAGTGTATTTATATAAAAATTTTGAAGCTTATTTATTAAAAATTTAAGTTTATTAAATCAAAATGTAATTTAATTTGAATTGAATTTTATAACCTTTTATATCAAATGTAAATAGGTCAACATATAAATGTATAAAAATTGATGCAATGCGACATTGGTGACAGTAAAAAATAAATTGACGTATGCAAAAAAAAATATATGCATGCAAATTTTACTACGCAGAAAATTTTTATATAAGATCTATAAAATCCAAGTACAAAAAATTGAAATTTTTACGTATAGAAAACGCACAATTATTGCATAATTATTGATAGTTATTATCAATAAAAATGATATTTTTTATATATAGAATAATATATAATAAAGTAAATAGAATTTCTTCCTTCAATTAAAAATTAAATAGTTTTAAGAATAATTTTCTTGAATAATTTTTATAAATAAAGTTTTTAATATAATTAAAATTTTTTATAAAATATATGTATAAAAAATAATTTTAAAAGATAAACAAATAATAAAGTAATTTTTTTTTTAATGTAATTATATATTTTAAGTTATTCAATTGATTTTGTAGATCTAATCTCAAAAATAATAATCTATAAAAAAAATATTATCATATATTGAAATTTGTATAAAAAAATCATTAATTTAAGAATTATTTTAATTTGAATTTTATAAAACTCATCCTACAAAAGATAAGGAAAGCATAAAAGTATTTCGTGTATTCCGTTTTGTAATATGATAAAGATTTCGTTATAATCATAACGTTTTATATTTTTAATTTATATTATTTAAAAAAAAAAATCAAATAAAAAGCAGATATTATCATGTGACTGTTCATCAGATTCTCGAATCCAGCAATTAAAAATGTTTCATTTAGAAAAATTATAAATATTTTGTAATTATATACATTTTATAATTAAATAACATTTTAATTTTCTTTTTTTTTTTAATTATTGTTTTTAATTATCTTTCTTATTGTTCATCGTATCATGTCTGGAAAGAAATGTAAATCAAAATTTGAAGAATCATTAATTATCATTAATATTTATCGTTTTATAAATGAAACTTGGTTATTTTTCAGATCAGCAAAACTAGCCAAGATATTAAAAAGCAAAAGATAAATGAAATAAAGAATTGTCCTCGACGACGAATGAAATAAAAATATTCACGTATTTAAATTTGTTTAAACTTACTTTATCTAACTTGCAAATGGATGTACGTGCATATATAATAAATGCATGTATATAATAAAATATATACGTAATAAAAAAAAAAAGAAGGAAGGAAAATATTTAAATTTCATTTTTTTTTTTTTTTTTTTCACTTACGTGATCTTTGACATCTTAGTTGCCACTGGACCAGGAATGAGGCATTGTACAGTAACACCGAATGGTGCGGCTTCAGCGGCTAAATCTTCACTTAGCTTGATAACGTAACACTTGCTGGCTGCATACACAGTTAAGTAAGGAGATGGCATAACAGCCGTAGCCGAGCTGATATTTATCAAAATGCCCTTTTTACGTTCGAACATTTGAGGAAGAAGGGCCCTTGCGACTCCTGTCATTGACGCCACATTCAACTGCAAAATCTGAGCTATGCTTTCCTCTGAGACATTCGTGAATAATTCAGGATGATCATAACTGGCTCCTGCATTATTTACCACTATTGCAATCTAGAATTTTAATTAATCAATTCTAATTATTTCTTGAGAATATTAATGAATGTTAATGATAAAAGTGGCATGACTTTTTGTATTGTAAGATTAAATAAAAATATCAATCGTTAAAGAATAAATTTTCTAATGTATAATATTTCTCAATTTTTTAAATTCAAGTAATTTGTATAACTGACATAATTTTATCAATATTATCTTAATAAACTATATTATTAATTACTTTATAGAATATGACGATGTAATTGTGTTAAAATATCTGTTAAAACCTATATATTACCATTTAAAAAATAATTAAATAATAGTTTAGAAAATATTCGAGAATAAGAATTAAGAATCTATATATTACCATTTAAAAAGTAATTAAATAATAGTTTAGAAAATATTCGAAAATAAGAATTAAGAATCATTGTGTTAATATTCTTATTTAACAATCTGATATTAATTTGAAGAGATATTAATTTTACAAATAAAATATATATATGTATAATCAATCACAAGTCTTTATATATATTATTTTATAAGGAAATTCATTTAATCCGAAAATTTAATAGTTTGTGCTATATATATATTATTATAAATAAAGTATATATTTAGAAAATTTTTTTTATCAACAGAAAATCTCTATAAAAATATGAAATCACTTGAACTAAAGCATCTTTTCAAATACCAATTTTTATGAGCTAATTAACACATTTGCTATTATTTAAAAAAAAATTTAATTAATTTTACATAATATAAATAAAAAATAAGAATATAATTAGTAAATATAATTAGGTTGTTTTTTATTTTCCATAATTATCTTTGTTGAATATTAACAAATGAAAATTAACAATGTCCATCATAAAAGTAACATAGTGACTCATCATAATAACGAACGTGTTAAAAGAATAAGAATAGAAAGACGGATAAAAAATGTTAAAGAAAGAATACCTCGAGCTCTTCAGTGGCTTTGGCAATTTTGGCATAAACCGCTTGTCCCTCGGTCAAATCTGCATCCACGATTCGAACTTGAACTCCATATCGTTCTTTGATCTCCTTCGCGACTTCCTCGAGTTTTGATAGAGATCGCGAAACCAGCACAATATCCAAACCTTTTTTCGCTAACTGTTCCGCGTACGCTTTCCCGATACCGCTTGTAGCACCTGTGATCACTGCCCATTTACCCTGTGTTCTTGGGTCAACACCGAATCCAAAATTCGGTCCTATTAATTTCTTCCACACAAGAACGCTTATTCGCCATAGAATTCGCAATCCAAGCAATCCTAATACAACGAACGATATTTTTTCCCAACACGTTAACGTCATCCTGAAACGACGAAAAAATCAACTTGGCCGTCACTTGAAATTTCTTCGGTCGAAACGATACTCTCGAAGAATTACGATTGTCTATCGATGTTGATTGAATCGCGACGCAAATCTGTTTTCCCCCTTTGTAACGTCTTCTTTTCATACTCCTACTTGCCATAATGCAATGATCAAACGAACTTAACCATTGGTCGGTTCTGATGATCGCAGTCGTGACATTGGACCTCTATTATCACATTGTATAACATACTATTGGATATGATGATTTATTCAAAAGTTCTTTGAACCCAATTTTTTTTCTATTCGATTTTTATTCTCTTTATAAAAATTTATTATATTATTATTTATTAATCTGGGAGTAATAAAAAAATATTAAAAAATTTTCTATTAATCATTTGATTTCAAAATTGCACGAGACGAAGACGGATGTTTAACTTGAATTTACATGTGTAAATATTTTTTTACTTGTTCTAAAATTCAAATTGAATAATATTAATTTTTTATCTATTATTATTAGATATATTTTACTAAATTACATTCAGAATATTAATGATAGCCAAATCTCTAAATTTCTATAGGCTTAATATTTCTATAGATAATTTGTTCACGTAAACTATTATTTCTTTTTTTAAAGAATTTTTTAATTAAAAAATAAAATAACAGTGTGAAAATCTAGAATAGAACATATTTGGTGCAAAAATTAAAAAGATCATGACACTAAAGAAAATAAAAAATTTAAATATATTCAATGTAATGCATAATGTGTAAGAATTAAAATTTCAAATTGAAAATTCATTGACATAGATAATAATGTTTCAAGATTCAAGTTATTTTTTGAAAGAAAATACTATTTTAAAAATTTCATGGAACCGAAATTTGTAAAATTTAATCGATCACTAATATATTTATTTTTTAGAAAATTATTTTTTCATATACGATCATTTTTCATACACTTGTAAATACGATCACAGTATAAACACGTACACAGTATATTATACATTAAATCATATTTATTATATGATATATATGTATTATATTATCGCAATATTATGAAATTCTCATAAAATTATTATATTTATTATATTTTAACATCTTTTATGTAACGGCAATTATAAATAGAAATTCTAATAAAAAGTTTTCAAAAAATATAAACAAATTACATATAAACAAGTTATAATTAAGTTTTAAATTAAATTTAGTTTATGTTATTTATTGAAATAAATTTATATAATAAATTAAAATTTATTTTATATCTACAAACATGTGAATTGGAAAAATACAAATCGCTACATTACATGTGATTATATATACCAGATGTTATATTTTGATACAGAAATATTTATTATATTTTATATAAATTTCTTTTTCGTATATAAACAGAATTTATTTCACCGTTATCCGTTTGTAAACATTAATTAACGATTTCAATGCATCATATGAGAATAATATTTGCGATAATTTATATATTCTACTATATATATATTGAATTGAATATATATGCGTAAACAAAAGACAGATAAGAATTCGTGAAAATATTTATTTTACTTACTTTTATTTGATATTGTTGAAATTGATATTAATAAAGATGATAGTAACGTTGATAATAAAGTTTTTTTCTTGATTTGACGTATTTCTCTTCAACACAATAAAAATGTAGTGGATGTGAAACGATTAAATTCATTAATATGTAAAAATTTCAAGAAATAAGCAAAAATTTATGTAATCTGATTTCGATGCTCTCGTATTATTATCGCGAGAATTGGATTAATTAATTCAATTATTCAAAATATCAACGAGGAAATGAAAAATAGAAAACAAATGACATGTTGTGAACGAGTTTCAAAGGTACCGAACAAACCAGACTAAATCGGATCACGGAAGTGTACGAAGAGAGTATCGAAGAGAGTACGAAGAGAAAGCGGAAAAGGGAAGAGAAAGGTAACGTGAAAGTGGAAGGGGAAGAGACAGAGATTGGTGAAAAGGAAGAGTGGAGGGGAGTAGAGGAGAGAAGGAAGCAACTAAATATTAGGGGAAGAGATGGGTAGTTGAAGGAAAGCGAGGAAGCGAGAAGATATAATATCATGGTACGGTCGATGTTGGAAGCAAATGTGGGGAGTTTGCGCGGGCGCAGACATTATGGATGCGAATTCACGTGATCGTGGACGTAATATATGTTCCGTTCGATGCATATGTAGTGGAAATATGTGATTTGGATATTTAGATGTCAGCGTTAACTGTTTAAAAGAAAGTCATTGCTTACATCTTTCTGTTGTTAAAAGTGGGGAATAGTTTATTTTTTCTTTGACACATTTCATTTTGACATACTTCTCCGTAATAATAAAATATTCTCGATTAAAAAAAGTAAAATACTGTCGATAATTTATTTTTGCATTTTTCTTTACTTATGTTATGTTATTATGTATTTTCTTGAATATATCGAGAAATATATATATCCAATATATAAATCAGTCCAATATATAAAACTATTTAAATGCATACTACAAATATATAATGAATTCGAATCGGTTTTTATTTCGATTATAGATCGATTATAATATAACTAATTATTTCGATTTACATATTAAAAATTTTGTTTCATTTTTCTTTTATTTTCTTATTTATAAATTATGAAAGTTTTTATATTTTTTTGTTTTCGCTTTTACATTTTTCCTTGCTTTGATTATTGTTTGATTGTGTCGAATAAGATAATTTATTATTAAACTTGTGATTAATTGATATTCTCACATGTATCTCAAATATTTCATTAATTAAATATTATTGTGCTTAATATAATATAATATTTGAATTTCACATAATATGTAATAATATCATATGTATAATTGAATTGTGTTGTATGCATTTACACGAATTCATACATATGTATAAATACATATATGTTTTGTAGTATTTAAATAAAGAATAGCAGAAAACAGTAAAAAAGTTTGAAAAGAATAACAAAATCAATAGATGTCACATATTAAGCACGCAAATCGGTAGTATTAATTAACCGTTCTGAAATATCGGGCATAAGTGCTTTTGATCTCTTTTTCGATAGTGTTCCTGTTTTAACAATACGTCGACCAATTAACATTGTACGATTACGATTTGCTTGATGCAGAGTTTGTAAATGAAAACGTCTCCAAAGTAAAGCTTTGGTATCAATGGATTTTGTCCAATCGTGCCATTCTCCACGAGTAATCTTCTCACTTTCCATTTCCAATATCTTCTCGATTACACTGCGTAACCATATATTCCAATCTTTAGCTACATCACTGATATACTCTAGCCATCTAGTCCAGTCCCTAATTTCTAAAGATTCTACTTCTGGCATATACTGTTCCATGAATGCAAGCTGCGATTGAGTTAATAGCGATCTTAACCAAGTTGCAATTTTTCCACATACTATATTCATAGTAATCTTTAAGTCTTCCGTTAAGAGATCTGGATTTTCCAATCTTACTATATTACTCAACTTTTCGTAGATTGCACGATGTATGCCATTTGTTATTGGATCTTCACCCGTATTTTCTGGCGCACTTTCTATCATTTTATAAATAGTATCGATTATTTTGTCAAAAGTAAGATAAGGAAGATCGGTTTTAAATACGTCCTCCAAAGTCTTCATAATATCTATTTCTTTAGGTACTTCCATAGGTTCTAACGAAATCTTTTTTGGAGATACCCTTACTTCGATTTCTTTTTCTTTTATTTTTGGTACATCTTCTACCTTTTCTTCAGCTTTTGGTTCTGCCTCTTTTTCTCTTTTTATTATTTCTGCCTCTTCACCTGGCTCTTCAAGTTCTGTTTCTGGTTTTGCTTCTGGTTGTATATCTGCTTCTATTTCTGATTCTGGTTTTATAGTTTCTTCTGGTTGTATATTTTCTTCTTGTTCTAACTTATTTTCTTCCGGTTTTGTAATTTCTTCCATTTCTGGTTTTGTAGTTTCTTCTGGTTTTATATTTTCTTCTGGTTTTGTTTCTTCTTCTGGTTTTGCTTCAAGTTCTTCACCTACCTTAGGTGTTTCTAATTCTGTTTCTGTTTCCATTTCTTGTACTGTTTCTGATTCTGGTTCTGTTCCTATTTCTTGTACTGCTTCTGCTTCTGTTTCTGTTTCTGTTTCTTGAATTGCTTCTGATTCTGTTTCCGTTTCCACTTCTTGTGCTGCTTCTGCTTCTGATTCTGTTTCTGTTTCCACTTCTAATACCAGCTCTAATTCTGGTTCTGTTGCTTCCGTATCTTCCATTCGTGGTCGAGCTTCTACTTCTGCTTCAACTTGCGGTTGTGGTTCCGTTTGTATCTCTGTCTCTTGTTCTTCTGGTTGTACTTGAGCTTCTTTTTCAATTTCTACTGGTTTATCTGCTTCATCCACTGCTTCATCTACTTTTTCAAGTTTAACCTCCTCTTCTTCTTCCTCCGTTATTTCTTTCTCCGGTTCCTCTGCTTCTTTTACTTTCTCTTCTTCTTCTTCGATCATTTTTGCATCTTCGTCCCAATCATCTTCCTCATCGTCATCCTCGTCTGGATATTTCTTTTCAATCTCTTCCTCCTCCACTTCTTCGTCCTCGTCCTCCTCTTCTTCCTCTTCCTCTTCATCTATTCTCATTTCTTCTTCTTTCTTTTTACATCGTTCGAGAAGTTTTTCTTCTTGATATTGAGCAACCTCAAATAGCACTCCGGTCACCCAACAGGCTAATACATCAGCCAAATAACGTACCTGTTGCGATTTCCGATCTTCGTCTTTTGGTTGACTGTATTCAAGAACATTTATCAATCGTCGAACTATCACTTCTGCGATATCTTTAATCTCTGATTTAGGGAATGGACATTTCCATTTTAAGATACTTCGAACGAAACGCTCAGCTATCAGATATTGAGAAGAAACCGAATCTTTCTCGAAAGATCCTACCGTTGTAATACCAATATTTTGTCTTTTCATTTTGTTTGTCTCTTTAAATTGCCATTGATCCGTTCTCTTTTTCCTTTTCTTTCCACGCGTTTTCTTCTTTCTACGCGAGATCGTTGCAGCTTGCCTGTAACAAATATTTCACCGTAGCTAAATAAACTTAATGATACTTAAAAATATTCTAATATTATTTAATTTTATTCTAATATTATTTTTGAAATCGACAAACAAGAATCGTTTATTTTTTTTTATCATATACTTCTCAATGAAAAATAAAAAAAAAATTGTTTAGACGAAAAATTATTTAAATCAATATATTACTCAGGAGTTAAACATGTTTCCTTTTCCACAGTTCGAACGAGATTATCCAAAAGAGCTGGAGGTAATATTGACGCGCCTTGTTGTAAAGTTATTAACATTTTGTGTCTTGTTGGTTGAGCCAATTCTTTGATTCGTTGTGATACAGGTTTCAATTTTCTAAGCACCATTTTCTTTTCACATTCTGGTGGACATTTACGGCTATATGAAAGTATTAAAATCATTTGTATATGGCTCTATTAAAATTAATCAAATTGTATTTAATAAACATAAAACTTTTACCTTGGAGTTGCTAATATATCAATGTAATCTTGTTTTGTCAAACAATGCCTAGGTATAACTTTCAATTTTGGAAATGTACAAGGTTCTCCAACTACGGAAACCATCGCAAATCTATCTTTTTTTTTTCTTCTTCCTCTTTGTGTTTTGCGACAATCAAGCTCATTTATTTTATCCACGTGCTACTGAATAAATTTGTCATAAAGTTATGTAGATAGATCTTTTATTAATCTAATGATAATTATAAAATATAAATATAAAATGTTATTAAGATTAATTAATATTAAGATATTAATGTGATTGCAAATTATTGTGAATTATTTTCAAATAGAAAATAATTAATAGTTTAAATAATAGAAAAATATAATAAAAATTAAAAATGAACAAAAGAAAATGTGTAAAATAAATATATATATGTTTTTATATTTACATAGTTTTATCATAAATTCTATTATCAATTTATTGCTATTATTATTAGATGTTTTCTGACAAAAATTATATCGAAAACCAAATGATAGTGTTTTAGAATATATAATATATATATATATTTTAACTAAAATCGATTTGATTATTTTTCATAAAAAATTATTTGAAAACAGAATATTAAAAAAAAAACTTTGCTGCAATAGTATCTTTCGAAACTTTGAAAGATATCAAAAATGTTCGTTTATTCGAATACAAAAATATTATAATAAATTTTTAAAATTATCTTAAAAATTAACATATAAATTGAAAAGAACTTTGATGGTAATTTAATATTTTATAAATTTGTATAAATTAAAGAATGATTATTTGAATAATATCCTTCAAATTCTATTTATTACATTTATATTATTTATATGTATGTAATAAAACTTATGATAGAATAAATATAGTGATTTGTTTATATAATATATTCAAGATAAAAAAAATAGAACTATTTTAAAAATATTAAAAATATTCAATTTGCCTTAGGTTTTTTTGGAATTTTCTCGGGTTTATCGCAATGTACCCATCTTTTCTTTTTTTCTACTATTCGTGGATAACCTTCGAACGTATCATCCTTTTGCCCTCTTTTTATTTCACGGTCGACAGAAGTAGCCCGTTTAATATCTTCGGGAGAATCATCAGTCTTTTCCATACTCATCTTTTTCTATAAATAATATGTATATAATTTTATTATGTAATAAAACAGACACATGTAATATTCAAATATTTTGTTCTTATTCTTTTTATAATTTAAACATAAAGATATATTTTTGAATAATTTTTTTTTTTTATTCATAAAATACTGATCATACCTATGTATGTGTATAATGTGCAATTACTATTTATAAAATCTGATCGAAAATGCAAACCGTTACGATATTTTATATTTTTATTATTATCTCTTTATACGCTTTGATCTTGAATCTTTGTTTGATGTTTGAAGAGGGAGTATTGAGTTAGATGTACTTGAAATTTGTATTACATTTTACTTGGGACCGTTAAATATGATAGGTTAAATGAGAGGTTAGAGAAAGAGGTCTGTTTTGTTTCAGAAATATAGATTTTCATCTCGTTCGATGTATCTCGCATTTGAATTAATGCATATATAATACGAAATATAATATGAAATATAATATGAATATAATATGAAATCAAACAACAATATGAATAAGAATTTAAAAAAGAAAAAAAAATGAAAGAAAGCGAGAAGAGGAAAAAGAAAGGAAAAGAGAATAATATATATGATAAAGTGACAGAGAATCGAAGAATATTTGCGTAAACGAGGTAATTCGACTACAGTGGGTAAAGTCACTAGAAAACATGCTGGTGACTGAGGCACCAAAATAATGATGATTCCTACTCCTACAAACTACAACAGCAACTCGAAGATGGCGGTAGTTACGATATCAGTGCTCGACACCGATAGCTGCTCCGTTTACTAATCGATCATTCCGGGTGTCGGGAGTCGGTGCAAAGTAGATGCAAGTTGGTGTGCCTATTTGAGAGAACGCATACTGCACAAGGGGATACTTGGAAGTAAAAGAAGTGTTTCTAAGATATGCGGGTGTGTGAAAATAACTGTTGCTCCTGTATAAGCAACCCGTGATACAGGTGTTTAGTACAAGATGCTAATTTGAATTGTGTCATGAAAAATGTTGGAAATCAACGAGAGCAACTCAACGGAACGAAATACCATTTGAAACTTTCAAGGATATCTTCACTTTGTTACTACACTGTGCCGAATAATTATGATTATGATGAGATAACAAACGCAGAATGAAATACAGTGGTAGTAACCTTCTTGGTTATGCAGTTTACGCGTTTATTCTATTTTTTAATGGTAAGTAAAATATGAAACTTTTTTCTTTATAATACCGATCTTTCTATTGTTTTAGTCAAATGCTTTTTTATTTCTATTATTTTTTCTTTTTTTAGTCAATTTTTTTATTTTTGTTACAGATTATCAGAACTTTTTATTCCACAGATTTGATTAAGTTCGATTAATCCTGATTAACCCTAATTTAAAGCTATACATCTATAATTCAATAAATGAATGAGATATTATTTGTTATCATTTAAAAGTTTTAAATTTTGTCTTTATTCTTTACATCAATTAATTCTTTTTATCATTTTGTATATTTACATACACATTTAAAACGCATATTCAAACTAATAATAAATTTATTTTTTTTCTTCTTTTTTTACTTTCAATATTTATATTAGGCGGCAATTTTTAACTGTTTCTACTTAGTAGTTTGTCCGATTGACGTAAGGTGCATATATGACGCATGTATTGCCGCTTATTTGATGACTTCAAACGATATGTGCGTGCTATTTTTTTATTCGTATTATATAAATTTATTATATAAATTATATTTTTATATATATATATATATATATATATAATCAATATAATAATTATTAATTATAAAATAAATTATAGATAAATTCATATATATTATTAAATAAATATTTAATTTATAAATTTAATTTCTTATATTTTCATTGTTTAACAATCAAGTAAATAAATAAATAACAGGTTTTTATAAATATTTTTACAAATATTATTATTACAGTTATTCATGCAGAAAGTGGTGTTACCTGCAAAGATCAACAAGGACGATCTTATGAAAATACTTTTATATACATTCCTGGTCCAGAACCTTGTACATTATGTGTATGTGATAATGGCAATCCAAAATGGTGTAAAGCACTTGTTTGCAAGTATGCAGAGGTATTTCAAATGCTAAAATAATTATATTGCTTTGCATTTTATATTATTTTTTTTCTATGTGATTAAAAATTTATTCATAATTCATATATATCAAACAGGAATATTGTAAATCTTCCCGGCATATTTGTTGTCAATATATTTGTTTGGATGATACATTATTATCTATACCAAATGATAAAACTGATGGGATTGGTAGCAATACCACTGATGCTACTACAAATTATGATATAGGACTACGATCTGTTGCTAGCTTTGTAACAGCTGTATTGTCATTAAGTTTATTATTTTTTTTAATACATCGATTACGCCAAAGAAAGATACGAGGTATTTTACAATTTGTCAATTGTTTTTTTTCTTAGAATAATAGATAAAAAGTATTGATTATTTTGTAAAAGTTTGTGTGGCAGGAAGGCAGAACAGACAGTTAGCAGAGGACCAAAGAAATTTAGGTAGTATGGGATATTTAGACCGAGATGGATTATCACATGGTGTTCCTATGGATGACATTCCATGTGGAGCTAGTTACCCATTATGGAAACCACCTAATAATTACTTTCCTCGTGGCGAAGCTCCACCACCTTATGAAGAGGCAGTAGCAGCAGCACGAGCAGAACAAGCTCTTTTATCAATGAATCCACAAACACTTCCACAACTAAGTTTTCCAAATACCTATTTACCAAATACTAATAGTCGTACAAGTATATCATTAGTAGGGAGTACGCAAAGTGGCATAAATGGTAATTCATCGACATTAATTTGTGACAATGGTATAACAGATCAAAGTGGCTTAATCTCAACACCAAGTAGACCAATATCAAATCCAAATATATATTCTAGTTATCATCAATCGAATCAAAATGAAACATTATCTCCAAGTGTTAGTGTAGGAACTTCAACGACGAGTTTTACAATGGGAACAAGTACTTATGAGAATTTACCTACTCCCATTGGAATTCCAAACTTTGTTAATCAGCGTCCTAATGTAACTGTGCAACCTTTACCTAATATGCAATCTACTATTCCAAAAAGTTATCAAACACATACTACTCTCCCTCGTCAAACTGGAGCATTTACAATATCTGCAACTTTACCAAATTCTAGTGTAACTGCTCATCGTACAATTCCTAGAACTTTGACAACTCGTACTGGTGCAAAGTTACAAGATATTATAAATGATTGCACTCAGAAGGAATTTTTACGACCTACAATAACAACCGATCTTACGACTCCGAATTTACCACATTCCACGCAACAAAATGCTATGATTAAATTAGAAAATACAAGAGAAAATGCAAATACATTTTCTGAAGATATACAAATACAGCCTTCTCCTGCATCTTCTTCAGGATTGCAACAAATTGAAAGACAACCTTTGGATCATAAAATAGATATAAAATCTCATGATTTTAAGGTGTAGTACAAAATGTAGTGTTGATATTGTATTTTTATATTCAAAATATTATAAAATTTAATTTTTTAAACGTATGTTATATAATAATTTTCATGCATTTCAGCCACCATTGAATATAGCTAATGATATTAATGAAGAAGGAAGCTTTGAATCAGTAGCATGCACTTGTAGCATGCAAGCTCTTTCTACTCTTCACGATGATACAGACGATTATAGAAGCGAATGTGAAAATTGTAAAAGCGCAACAGGTTCTCGTTATTATTTAGATAACGAAGATGAATTGATTACTTCTCCTCATGAAACTATGACATTACATAGAAGACCAGATGAAACAGCTTCAAATACTACCCCTCAATATTATAGAACTTCACTCACACTGCCTATAAGTACCCGTCAACGAACAAGGTAATTATAAAAAACAAGTTATTCTTCTCTTTTGTTAATATTTCATCACATTAAAATTATTTATTAAAATGTCATATAAAATTATAAAAATTATGAATATAAATATTATAGTATATTATATTATAGTATAGTATAGTAGAGTAAAAAAGATTTATTTTCTGTTTTTTTATTTTTTTTATTATTTATTTTATTATTTATTATTATTTATTTTATTTTCATTTTTTAATAATTAATCTTTTTTTTATATTATCTTCTTAATATAAAATAAAATGTTTTTAAAAATTAATAAACTAAAGAAAATGAATGTAATTTTTTTATAAAATTCATGATACTGATGATATCTATAGGATATAATTTACCGACATTTCTTTATATTTAGGAGCACCGGCGTTCGAGAAAATTGGTTCAACCCTATGCCACAAAGTTCTACAGAATCTTCAGATGAAAATTAATTGCAGTTATATGTTTCCCATATATCATATAATTATTAAGATGATTTATAATATACTATCAATGATCAAAATTCAGTATTATGACAAATGAACAATGTTCATATTTTATTGCGTTGCAGAACACCAGTTATTGTTAAACAATGTTACATTGTCAAATTTTACTATACAAATGAAATTTTTTCTATCTTATTCACTGTGTATAAATTGTTCACATATTCTATGTATGATTTATGATGAAAAAGATGAGTCATATTTTTGCTCTCATGGTTTTTCTTTATATGTTATTAAACTATGAGAGCAAAATTTAAATATATTTATTATATATAATTTCGATATTTAAGTTAAAAAAACAACAGCTAAGGAGCAAAATAACAATTTATATTTTTAAAATTTTTTTTAACTATGTTCAATGCATATCATTTATTAGAATTTAATCAAAATTATTGTTAAAAATACAATTTTTATCCTTTAATCCCTGCGGAGTTGAATAATATAGTATATATATATATATATATTTCTAGGTACTGAATAACGCAATAAAATATAAAGAACAGATTGGTTCACACTATATACATTATATTTATCTTTTATTATTTGATTAGTAATCATTGATTTACTTATTTGGTAAAATGATTTTAATGTTTATCATTCAATAACATAAACAAAATGTGACTATAGGATAAAATATGAAGGTAAGTTTCTCAATAACAATTTGATAAATTTTTGAAATATTTATATGTCATTATATGTACATATATTATATTAGTATTTATATTACTATTAAATTTATAAAGTTTGTTATAATTTTTTTTTTTTATTTGAGTTTTTTTATTTTGTATAGAAATTTTTATTCAACTGTATTATTTGAATATAATATTTTAAATGAATTATAAATATTATTTTTATATTAATTTTCATTTTATTCTCATATTTTAACAAAAATAATTAAAAATATAGTTGTTATATATTAATATTTTCTGATATTTCAAATTGCTTTGAATATATAAGTGGCGAAAAATTTAAATTATTAAATTTAAATTATATTATAAATTTAAATTATATTGAACATAATTCAGTTCTTAAAATTTGAGTTTTAATTTTTAAAGTTTCGATTAATTGTAAAAAATTTTAAAAATCTTAATAATTTTTAAAATATTAAAATTTCAATGGTTATTCAATATTTTGCATATTATAAAATACTAAACAATCATCAATATTCTTAAACTTATGAAAACTTTCGAAATTTGAAAGACTTTTAAATTTAAATATCAAATCACGTTCGAAGTGATTAGAATTTTCAGTACTGAAAAATTTCGAGTCGTTTTAAAATTGAGATTCGAACGCTTATCATGTATATCTATCGTACAACGTGCAATGCACAAATATATGTTTTGAAATCTTTTAAAAATACATATCACTATTAAGTACAACCGCCACACATTTACAATTTATATCAAAATTATATAAATATATTCGTTTCAGTTAATTTTTGATATATTTATTATTTCTTAGTTCTTTTAATATAAAACAAATAAATATGCATTATGTTAAATAATTAAAATGTTTTCGTGATTATATATATATATATATATATATATATATATATACACACACAATATATATATGCATGCTTGAAACAGATCTATTAGTCTAAATAGTGTGAATCAGCCTTAGTATATATAGTTATATTATACATGCATGTATATGTTATATTTCTTTTTATCTATAATATAAAAGTTTTGTTTTTTTTTTATAGTACAATGCATGATATAATTATTCATGTTGTACGCACGTAAGATTTTAAACATAAATTAAGATTTTGATTATATTTATTTTTTATATATATAAAAGTTTTTTCATAATCTATTTAAGATTTTCAGTGAAAAGTTTATAACTATTCAGATTTTATATTCAAATAGTTTATTTGCATATAATTGCATATAATAAAATTTTTTTTGACTGATTTTAAAATTCTGATATAAGAAAAAACATTTTTAAACAATACAATCTTATTTATTCAAAACTATACAATCTTATTTTGTATAGAGTAAAAAGAAAAATTTTGCATGATAATAATAAAATATTTGATATTTTCAGTAAATATAATGACTAAAATTGTTATTTTTGATTGATAATTTTTTAATATATATATATATATATAAAACAAAATATAAAATGATATTGATTTTCTAAAGTGCGTAATTTTCAGCAATTCTAATATTTGTTTATGAATAGAATTTAAGAATTAGACTGATTATAATTAATAATATCAAAATATCATATTTCAATTTTTAATCAAATTAAAAATATATAAAATCCTATTTGTAATATATTTTTATTTTATTTTATTTTATATTTTTATTTTATTCGCAATATATTATTTATTTTTTTACTAGTATGAATATTCTATAAAGTTCTAGTATGATTAATTATTGATAATTATTGATAATGTATTTTCTAATAATCACAAACGTAATATGTATTTTATTATTTGAGGGTAATTTTAATTATATTATTATAATTTATATTATATTATATATTATTATTATATATTATATTTATAAAATATTTTGATTTATAAATTAATTAATCAATTTTACTACAAAATACTAAAAATACAATTATTTTCAATCATAATTATTTTTATAAATTTTAATCTAAATTTAGATATTATTTATTTTATTATATATAGAGTATTATTATATATAGAGTAATTATATATAGAGTATATATTATATTATACATTATAATATAATATAATACTATTATATATATTATATAATATAATATAATTACTATTTGTACTCCAAAGGGTTAGGAATAGGTATAGAAATATAAAAAATAATTAACAATTATTATTAGTTGATTTTCTTTAATAATTAAATAATTATTATCTTATCTTAATATAATTACTATTTGTACTCCAAAAGGTTAGGAATAGGTATAGAAATATAAAAAATAATTAACAATTATTATTAGTTGATTTTGTTTAATAATTGAATAATTATTATCTTATGTTAAGTGAATAAATACATAGTTCATTTTGCTGCTTTGCTGCTGTTAAAAATATAATATAAAGATATATGAAAATATAACTAATTGAGAAAATATTGGATAAGTTTAAAAGGATGAATGTAATAATGATAAAAATTTGCTTCAGAAAATAAAAGTTTTATTTTATTATATAAAACATTATATTTATGTACTTTATGTAACAGCATAATTTTTATAATATATATATGAGGAGTAATATTAACAATCATAGCATTTAAATAATTTAATTCATAGCATTCAAATAATTTCAAGAAAAAAATATTTTCAAAATAGAATAAAAATAATAATAATAAAATAAGAAAAAATTTTTTTTATTAATAAGAATTTAGGAATTTAATAAATTGATTAAAATTAAAAATTAAGAATTTTTAATTATTGATTATAAATTGTATAATAATTGAATAATTATAAATAGTAAAGAAAAATAGAAAAAAAGAGCTAGCTAATTTTAATTTTATAATTACTAATTATATATATATAAATAATTTTATAATTTAATAAATAAATAAAAATAATTCTAAACAGAAAATGAATTCTGTAAAATCAAAAATTTAAAAGTATTAAATTATTTATTGGGGCAATATTTTTGTTATAATTACATTCGTCTCATCGAACTATGCAATCATCTTTCTCGTTGATTACCCTTTGATGTGTTCAGTCTAGTGAAGATATACATTATATTTAAGGTGTTTATATATCTTTAAAAATCTACGATTTTTTTGCTACGAACTTCATAATTTGAATGAATTATGTGTATAAGATAAATATTGATAAAATAAAAATTATTTCCCTAATATTTAATTTATAACATTTATTAAAATTTCAAGTATAGAATTAATACAAAAAAAAAAAAAATAAATCTGTTTGAAGTGTTTTTTAATTTTTTTCACCATAATATTATCGATAAGTATTTGAGAAAATGTCAGATAATAAAAGAGATCGTAGTATTAGTATATGGAAAGTAATATTGGAAATAATTAAAAAAAATAAAAGTTCTTTTTAAGTATAATCTTCTATTGCGTCTTTCATAATACCAAGGATTTCAAATTATTCATTCTACTGTGTTCTCTACAATATTATAAATGATTCTGCATCAAACTGTATTCTATGATATAAGCTATATATATATATATATATATATATATATGTATATGTATATGTATATATATATATATATATATATATATATACATATTATATATAGTATATACATATATAAATACAATATATGTTAAAAATTAAATCTAATTTATTCAAAGTTCTTATAATTTAATGAAAATTAATTATGCATATTTTTAATATTAAAATTATTACATTATAGTTAATGAATTTGATAACGAATTCGTAAATTTTACTTGGAATTTAAAACATATTTTTTTATATAAATTATTCCATGTTATTATTTAAATGTAATTAAAATTTTTGTTACTATTTTTTTATGAAATTTTGAAATATAAACGAATTTTTCTGCGTACATATAGATACCAATACAAAAAATAGTTAAAATTATTTAATATTTAATGCACAAATTTGAAAATGTTTTTATAATTATTAGAGTTATTATTAAAAATATTAATATAATAAATACAATTTTCTATTATAATTATTTTTTGAAATTATGAAATCAATTAATAGAGAAATCATGAAAAAAAAAATGATAAACATCGAACTAACATACTAAATTATGAATTATCTTTGGTAATTATTAGATATACTGAGATAATTAAATGCAAAAGAAAAACAAAAAAAAAGAATACAAAATGATTACGTGAAACGTAATATTTTATAACAATCATTTGTTGTAATTTTAAATAAAAATATATCCAAACTTTTTTGTGAGAAAAACAATTATTCATTTCCTTATATATATATATTATATATAATATATATATAATATNATTCATGGATAATAATTAATTTTTTAATTAAATTTAAATAAAACAGATATGATATGATTTTACATAATTAATAATGTAGAAATAAAATACAGTTGTAAAACCAGCACTTTACAAATAATATTACATTTTTAAAAAAACAAAAGTATACAAAAGTATTTGAAAGCTATGCAGATATACGTATCCACCTGTAAACAAATTCTGTAAAAATCAAAATCTCTCTTCTCGTAATCGTAATTCGTGTGTTCATTAAATTCGACTATATTGCATTCTTGAAAAAAATGTGTTCATTATATAATAAATCACTTTCTATATGTATACAGTCACTTGATGAAAAAAGGTACAAGCTGGACTTAAAATATATTTGAGAAATGTTCAAGATTCAAGACTCTTGTTGTAGTTCAAATGGTACAAAAATTTGAATTATTTAATTGTTTATCAAATGATCAAAATATTGTAATATATTTATCTAAATAGATTTAGAATAATATCTTTATTGCTTACTTACTGTAAGTGTTATAAAATGATATAAGTTGTATTAAAATATTTGTGTCATTAAGTTATCATTTAATTGTAATAAATCAGTACTTTACATAAATTATTCGTTAACTACTTTTTGTTATATATACAAGGTGTTAATATATTTATTATTAATTAATTATTAATTAATATGGGATATCTTTGGAAGGTCGATTTTAGAGATCATAAATATAAAAGTTGGTTTACAAAAATGTCAGTTCAGAATTATTTATTAAATTATAAATAATTCAAGTTTCTCTTAAAAGCGAAGCAGAATTAGGGCGAAACGAGATAGAACTCTCACTTTATAACACCCTGTATATACATATACATATATAATTTTACATTAATTTATTTACTTCATTGAATTATTGTATCTCTGTATATAGGTAATTTAAAAGATAAAATTTGCTGATTAAAAAGATACTTTAGATTAATAAAAAATTTTAATATAATTTGGTATCAAAATTTTACAATATAATAATATATAATTTAATAAATATAACATTTCTAAAATTGGATATTATATTATTACATGTAATATTTTATTATTTTTAAATTTTATAATTTTATAAAGACATATATAAAAGATTTTCAAATTTGAATAATATATAAAATTTAGTATAAAAATTTGGTATAAAAATATATATAAATAAAAATATGTACATACACATGAAATTCGAAAATTTTGTATGATATCATCATGCATATATTATACATCAGCGTGACACCATTTAGATATAATATACTAGATAATAACTAGATAATAATTTTATATATTTAAATTTTCTCTCAAAATTTGTACATATCAATCGTATTTTATTAAGAGCTATGTTGTTATAGTACATTTTTTATTAATATTCTTTTTTTTTAAGCAACTTAAATAAAATAAGCATAGGTATTTTTTACAGAATACGTTACTTCGAAAAGGATTACTTACATAAAACACTCGCGTGTACACACATGCGCAGACATGCCTAACCTTCAATACATATTTTTTCCATTAAGGTACATATGTAATATTTGAAATAAATGAACAATATGGGTATACATATTTAACGATCGATAAAGTAATTATTTACATATATTTGATATATTTTTTGTTGTGAAATATAAAAAAATTTAATTTCATAGACGTAAGAAAAAAAATATTATTTATTTTTTAGCAATCAAATTATTCCTTCAAATTATACTCGGAAAATATTTTCATGTGTTACAAGTGAATATAGTTTACAAGTGAAAATAAAAGATAAAGTCATAAAGAATTAATGTATAAAATTAATAATTGACAAGAGAAGAAAAAATATTTTAATTTCGGTGAAAGCTAAAAAATAAAAAAGTAAAACCAAAGAACGCAATAATGAGTGTTTGGTACGCAATTAATTAATTTAATCAAACGCCATCTCGTGCTACGTAAAGGTATCATTTAAAATCAGTAGTTTTCCAGTTCTGTTTCGGCATTCGCTTAAAACGTAATCAAGTACACCAAGAATTGTGACGGATTACGATCCATCACGATAGTCAGAAATAGGCAAGAGGAGCAAAGAGGACACGTAAAAGATGGCGGAAGCCGTTGTAGACGGGGCAATGTCCCGATTTTTTTGTCACAAATGCAGTATCGAAATTGAACGTTTATTACCTGTAAGTATATTTATCCATTTTTTTATACATTAATATTTATACTAATAAATGTAACAATATAAAATCGCAAATTTTGTATTTTGTGCTGTCATTTTGTATCGCGTAAAAATTCTTTTCTTTTTGCCTCGTTCCATATAGAAAATCGTATAAATATTACTATTTTCAAATTAAAAATTTTTACTTTCATTATTATATGTTTATATTAAAAACAGTTAATATTCAAATATTATGAAAAAATAACGTTATTTTGAAATATGAAATTTAATTACGTGGAAGAATCTGTATATTTTAAATGCTTTTATATTTACTTTCTTAAATTTCTTATTTTTTCTCATTTTTATGAAAATCTATATATAATATTCATAATTTACTTTTTTCAGAAATTGTTTAATAAATGCTTTATTGTTAAATATTATATAATATATTGTTTTAATGAAATGATATTTTGGAGGAAATAAATACAAAAACAATTTGATATGTATTGATTGATTAAATTTTCAGGTTTTTCGATGTATGAAAATTCTTTAGAAATTTTAAGATATATTCTATATCTTAAATTTATAAAAATGTATATAATGTTTGTTATAAGAATATAGAATTATTAAAATATATTTGTATATACATAATAATATTTGTATATACATAATTCAATATTGTTTAATCCTTTTTTAGGATTACACATGCCCAAGATGCTCAAGTGGTTTCATAGAGGAATTGGAAAGTGATAGCAGTGATAGTGGATCTGGAATGCACATCAATAGTGACATAGATGATGTAAATAACAATTTTCATAGATGATGTAATAATAACTATAATAGTAAATAGTATTATAAGCAATTGTGTTATAGATGATATAAATAATGTTGTTAAATCTTAATACTCTTCTGTTTTTTAATTTTATTACATTCCTAGATATTTTATTTTTATTTTTATTAAATATTTATTATGTAGCTTTGGGAACGCTATGCAGATGTTCCTCTGAGGGGAGAATATGAAATGGAATTTTCCAATCAGTTTGAAACACCAGTTAGTTCTAGCAGAAATAATGGTCCTGCTGGTAGAAGACGAGTTCATTGGTCACGTAATGCCCAAGATACACGTCGCTCTAATAGGTATGTAATTTAAATATTTTTAAAAACTTAAAATTTTATATATAGTATATATATATAAAAATTAAAATATAGATTAAAATATATATAAAAATAAAATATAGATTAAAATATTTCTATTGTTTTTTAACTTAAATATATTTATTTCCATTGCATGTGTTTATATTAATTTTATATATAAGTATTTGGACATCTGCTTCTTTTATATAAAACATTCATCTAATAAATAATTCCTACTTGATTATTTCTATGTTGAACAGCAGTCGTGGAAGACAGGAAGTAGTTCCTGTGTCTGTAGAGAACTTCATACAAGATTTTATACTTAATCTCTCAGAAGGGGTAGCACAAGCTGCACAACTACCTGTGTATGTACAATATTTATCATAAATTCATTATTTATATAAATGACTTAAGATGGATGGAATATATAAGAGTGATTTTATATGCAAAAATGAATAGAAAAAAAATATATTTTTTCATTCAAAACTTTTTTAACTCAAATTTAAAATATTTTCAAATATAAATGAAATTGACTAAATGAATATTCCTAATTAGAAATAAATAAATTATCTGTAAGAAATTAAAATGAAAATAAATAAAAAATAGAATAAAATTTTGTCATTTTCATTTTTGAAAAAATTTAAATTGAAAATATACAAGAAGAAAAGAAATCAGATGTTTCTAAAATCAATGAATTTTCAATATTCTCAAAAATTAATTTTGTAATAAAAAATTTTATTCTATATTTTTTATTTTAATATAATATATATTCATATTAATTAATTCATATTAATAATATTAAAAATTATCAATTATATTTATATTTAAAAATTTTTCAAATTTGATCTATAAATAAAGTTTTTTTACAAAATTTAATTTTTTTTTTAACTATTTTTGCATATAATCCTTTTATTTATTTATATCATTCATCATGCATTATATTTTATTTTATAAATTTTAAGTTTTTAAAAATATTTAAATGGATGCAAATTTGAATGTATTCAATTTTATATTATTTCAATATTTCTTAACAAGTAAGAAATATTAAATGAATTTAAATAATAAAAAATTATTATATGTATGTCGTTTTGGTTTATGAATTTTATTTATGTTAAATATTATCCTGAGTGAATTTAGAAGCATATTTTAATTTCTAATTTATTTACAAATTCTTTTGTTTGTTATATAAAAAAATGTTATGGTATATATTCTTAATAAGAATTTTAATGACATTAAAATCAAATTTTTAATATTAATTTCAATTTTTTATTTAAAATATATTTATTTATTTATTAAAAAAATAATATTTAATATACAATGAGTCTTAACTATATAGTATAAATAAAAAATAGTTCTGAAAAAATTAGAATATAGAATAAAATTTTTCTATTTTAAGCATTATTTTCAAAAAATTAAAATTAAAACAGTTTGAAAAATATTCAAATCATTCAGTTTGAAAGGTACAGTTAAAATTGGCTATTTCTAGATTAAATATGAATGAATTATTGATAGATGATTATTTTGCATATGAAAATAAAAAATGTAAAATAAATTTTTTTCATTTAAAAATTAGTTTGAGAAAATTGAATTTGAAAATTCATTGATTAAATGACTTCTTGACTATATGTTCAGTCTCTAAAAGTTAAACAATAAAATTTTATTCTACATTTTTTTGCTTATTTTTACATATGTAAAATTAATATATTTATAGTTTATATATATATATATATATATATATCATAATCAAAAAATAATCAATTTTAATTATATTTGAAAATTTGTCTATTTGTTTTACTCAAAAAGAAGCTTTAAATAAAAAAATTTTATTTTATATTTTCTACTTATTTTTTTATAGTAGAATCATAATGATGTACCTATTCAATTTATACTGTTACAAGACACTTTATGTCTTTAGCATTTATTTCTTATTATTTTAACATTATTGAAAATCCTATAATTAAAATGTATATGTTTAAGCATATAAATTTGTAGATGAAAATAATACATATTATATACTCGCATGTATTGTGCATATATGCATATATACGTGCTTGTATATATATATGTATTCATTTATTTTTTTAAAATAATATAAAATTGATTGATTTCATATTATGAAAAAATTATATATTATTTCATTATATATAATAATCACATATATATAATAATTATACATATAATATATTTATTGTGTTAAAAAATGAAAATAATTAGATTAGAATAAATAAAAACAATTTAAGAAAATATTATAAAAACATTAGAAATATTAATGATATTTTGATAAAATTATTATGATAATTTATTTCTTTTTTGCAAAATTTTAATGTCTAAAATATACTATTACATTGTACAATAATAATCATTTATTCAAAAAACAATGAATTGTAAATTAAAGAATATTATAAATACTAGATAAAAAATTAATTTTACTTATATAGATATATAAATAAAAATATATATATAAAAAATGAAACAATAGCAAAAGAAGAAGAACGCTTGTTCACACAGGATAAAAGTCATTATATTTTATTTATATTTGGTATTACTAAAATAAAGCACAATAATGTAGATTCAATATTAGACTGTTCTTGGGAAATCCTGGAGATTATGTTTGGGGTCAAGATGGCTTAGATGCAATTGTAACACAATTATTAAATCAAATTGATGGAACTGGACCACCTCCTTTACCAAGAAAACAAATTGATGAAATACCAACTGTAACTGTGAATCAATATCATGTTGGTAAGTAAAAAATATATATTATAATTAATAAAAAATAAAATTAAACTAAACATTATTAGTATCAAATTTTTATTAAATTATCTATATAGATAGTAAACTTCAATGTTCCGTTTGTTGGGAAGATTTCAAACTTTCTGAACCAGTTAAGCAACTTCCTTGTTTACATCTATATCATGCACCATGCATTGTACCATGGTTAGAATTGGTAAATAAAAAAATACATAAAGAAATGAATTTTAATTTAAAATTACACAACTGTTTCTTGCCAATATTAATATTCCATGATACTTTTCTTTATTTCATTGTTTAGCATGGTACTTGCCCTATTTGTAGACAGCATTTGGGAAGTCAGAATTCAACCGAAGTACATCAGGATAATACCGTAGGACGTAGCTTAGTCGCTCTCTTTAGGTAACTTATGTGCATCATTTATATACATTTTATATTTTCTATTTAAAAATAATATAAAGATTTAAATATTCATTCTATAAAGATATAGAAAGAATTCATAAATATATTTATGTGTTTTTAGAGCAACCAATGAATCGAACAATACTAGAACATCATCAACTTCATCCTCGAGTGGTAATAATTCCAGTAGTAACTCGTCGAGTGAGATTTGAGATTGATTATCACGACTTATTATTTTCTCTATCTAGCAGGACACACAAATATACACACACAACACGCATCTATTTTTCACTTTTTTCAAATTTGTTTTCTGGCACTGTTCATTTGAGCGATGCTCATATATACTTCATCAATATTGTATCTCGATACTAATATAAATTTCAAGCTTTATACTTTAATCCATGATGTAATATGAATCACACAAAAAATAATGCAGTATCAAATTACAACTTGCATGTGTTGCTTTGCTTGAATTATAATGAAATATGAATATTAAAAGTTAAAGAAAGACGTGCGTATTTATAGTTGAAATAATCCTTATTGCTATATATATGTATATATTTATTTATGCGCGCGCCCAGACATAATTTTATAATTTGCAAAAACATGCAATTCATGGAATTTTCTAAACAAACTTGTCCAAAATTTATATAAGAAGAGAATGTATGTTTCTTTATAAAAATTTAAATTTGGATGTTTAATAAATTTAACATAACACAATGATGTTTACAAAAAGAAAAAAAAATACACTGTAACATAATTTAAGCGTAGGAAGTGTGTTATACATAAAAATAATAGAACAAATATTAGTGGTTTTAATTATGTACAGTTTAACTGAACATTTATGCACGTGATTAGAGTATCAAATTTCTACTCAGCATACTTTTTTCATTTATATAATTTTAATTTTTGATGTCATTTAATTATATCATATTTCTTTGAGTTTAAAAATTGTTAAAAAATTAGTCACATTATTCTTATTTACATAGTTTTCTTGATGTTCGCATCAATATTGCTTTATAAGGTGTCACTCATATTTTATTTTGACTATTAATAAATATTCAATTTAGTTATATATAGTACTGATGCATAAAGTATACAAGAATAAGCTATAAAACAAGATTAGTTAAACAAAATTACGAAAATAATCCAATGAAAATTATGAAAAATAGGAAGGTAAATGAGCTATAATATTTGTGTTTGAAGTTGTATTTTATTTTTCTTAAAATGGTTGTATATTACGCTATATAATTTATGCTATTCTCTTTTTATCATAAAATCATACATAAATATATCAACTATTAGTATAGTATTGTTTATTTATATTCAAATTTCTACAGGTTTGGTACAGATGCAAATTTGATCGTCCATAATTCACAGTTGGTAATTAAAATATATTAGATATAATAATATGGTAGATAATGTGAATAGCATTTAGATACGATTACGTATCATGTTAAACTTTATAGATTCCAATATAGTATACAATTCAGGTAATAATTATCTGCAATATGAATAAACAAACACTATTTCGATTTGCCATATTATATAGTATGTAATAAACTTTAATGTTGTTGTTCTTATAGATCAGTGAAATTTAATTTGTTTCCGTGATATGTATAACAAAATACAAAAAATCATTAATTTTTTGTATTGTCTGTTTTTAAATATAATGAGTGGGAAAAATGAAAGATTGTAACTAAAAAAAAGAAGATTGTATTCAATTTACATAATTAAATATTACTTAATTGCAAAATAATTGTAAACAAGCTTGATAATAAATAAATGGTTTTTGTTTAGAAAATTTTTAATTTAAATTTGATTTTTAACAAATAACAAAAATATTGTTTATAGTGATAATAATAACAACAATAGTATTAATAATAGTTAGAAAATTTTCAAAAATATTTTGTATATAATTGAAAATGTAGAAGTTATATAAATATTTTTGAAAAGAATTATTATTAATTATGTAAAAAGATATGAAAAATCATTGAAATATTTAATGTAAAAATTCATATTTAAAGAACTTAATACAATATTGTATTAAAAAATAAAAATCGAAATTTAAAATTTTTTTATGAATTTTTCTTTTCATGTTTTTTTATGACAAATAATTATAAAAGATATAATTATTATAGATTGGTATCTATCTTAAATTTATGTAATTCATATAAATTAATCAGTATTCACATANTGTAATAATAAAATAATTCTTTTAAAATGTTATGTAATTATAAAGTGATTATTAAATATAGTAATAAAAACAAAAAGAAGAAAAAAATATATATTTTAAATTTTAAATTAGGTTATGGTTATACAAGTTGGACTGTTAGAAAATAAACAGATAATACTCAGATTTAAGTGCAAAATATATTTAAACTGTTATAACAAATTGTTTTTTTACAGAAAATTGGAAGAAAATTTATATTGATACCAAATATTTAAATTTTAATCAAATAATTAATAATATTAATAATATAAGGAATAGAATTTTTCGTTAATAATATAAAATTAATTTAGATTTTAAAATTAAACGTCATTGAGTGAAATATGAAACATAACCAAGAAACAAATATTTGAATTTATTTCTATTAAGAAGAAGAATAAAACATTTAAATGAATACAGTTTACAAGTTCGTATATATTAAGTGAAATGAATATTTTGATATATTCCAAATTTATAAAGGAATGGCAGAAAAGGAGGCAAAGATTGAATACGTGACAGAACCTTGCCCTATTAAACCTCGTAAAATAGGTCCACAGAATATAATATTACGTTTAAAGCGTCGAGAAACATTTGGTTGTCCTTATCCAGGGACACATGTACATTGTGCTAGACAATTTTATCAAAATGTATTTCCAAATTTCACTGTTATGAATGTGGAGAAACCTCCATGTTTTCTTAGAAAATTTAGTCCTGATGGTCATTATTTAATAGCATTTAGTTCTGATCAAACTTCTATAGAAGTTTATGAATATCGTGGTGCATCTGCAGCTGCTGATTTATTAGCAAATTCAGAAGGTGAATATATTGGTCATAAGAATGATGAATGCAGTTTCCAAATTAGAAGAAACATTTTTAATAGATTTTTTAAGGTATACTATATTATTTGTAATTTTTTAATATAAAAATTGAGTTATGAATGATTTTTAAGAACAATAATAAAATATATTATGATAATAAATAATATTGTGATATTTATAGGCTAAATGGATTGTTAATGTGGTTCAAAGTAATGAACAATTGAATAGAGAATGTAGTTTATTTACAGATGATGGTCGGTATGTAATTGTTGGTTCAGCTGCTCATATTCCAGATGAATTGAGACCACATTTTTATCAAGTAAGATGTTGGATAATAACTTTTATTCTTAATTTATTATTTTATATTATACATAATTTATTATTATATATTATATATAATATTATTATATTTTATATATAATATTAAATTTTATTCTTTAAGATTTATTCTAACAATGAAGCACTGACTCCAAATCCTAGATCACCACTTGAAGATTACAGTTTACATCTTGTCGATTTACATGGAGGAAAATTATGTGATACTAGACATTTTAAAGTAGATAAAATATATTTATCTCATAATCAAGGTAAATTCATGAATATATGTTTATTTTATTTATTTAGATTCATTCAATAAACATTATTATTTATATAGGTCTCTATCTTTATAAAGATATATTGGCAGTATTATCAGTACAGCATCAAACCATTCATATATTTCAAATTCTTGATGGAATGTTTATCAATGTTAGAACAATAGGAAGGTACCACTTATTTGAAAAGATATTTTTTATTTTAAATTTGTTTCAATAATAGTTTTTATACTATTAATAATTAATTTTGGTTTGAAATAGATTTTGTTTAGAAGATGATGCTTATTTGGTTAGAAGTGCATGTCCTGGAGTAAACTGTCGCCCATTTAGAGATGTTACAATAAACTGTCTCAAACATAAATTGTTAGTTTATTTATATAAAAGAGCAGCATATATTAGTGATACAACAAAGGATCCATATGAATTAAGACGTTTTTATCAATATTTTGACCAAGTATGTAAAATATATTTCTTATAATATTTTTAAATATTGTAAATTTATCAGTAATATTTTAAATGATTTTAATAAATATTTCAGTTAAATGCATTACGAATGTGGAAAATGCAATTATTAGATACAAATCATATTCTTGTAAGATTTGCAAGTGAAGAAGTAGCAACTCTTCAAGCAAATGAACCTAATGTACAACCTGCACTTTTAGTAGTCTATGATATGGTTACTGCCAAAATATTAGCTGCATATGATAACACATCTACCCAATTATTAACACAATTTGAAAATTTCAGTGATTTCTTTAGGAATGCTAGAATGAATGGCGATTGTCAATATATGTGTTCTCCATCTAACAATATATATGCAAGGTATAATATTCATGAAAATATAATAATAATAATTTTATCGCATTATTTTAATATATGTCCCAATATTATGAAGTAAAATAAAAAATATATCAAAAGGTATTTTATTATTTTATAATTTGAAAATCTTTTTCAAATTATATAAATATTTAAAATATGTGTGAAAAATTAAATTATTCTTTTTGCATATATACAAAAAAACACATACATGTTTGTCGTATAATTTTGGGACCTTTTGCAAAATGAAATATATTTTATTCTCAATTCTCAATTTCATTCTTAAAAATATTAATGAAAAAAATAATGATCTTAATAATTAATCATATTAATTTATAATTTTATTTAGATTGTTACAACAGAGATTTAAACAAACAATAATAAGTGCCAGATATGGTGGTGTTACTGAAGCTACAAAAAGATTACTTGCTCAATTGCCAATATGCGCTCAATCTTATTCTAGTTCCCCATATCTGGATTTGTCTTTATTTTGTTATGATGATAAATGGGTATCTATGATGGAGCGTCCTAAAGCTTGCGGCGAGCATCCTATACGGTATAATTTTCATTTAATTTTTTATATTTACAACAATTATTTATTAAAATCATAAATATTTAGAAAGAAATATTTAGTAAGAAAAATGTTAAAACTATGAATTGTTAAAACTATTTTTATATAAATTTTTGACATATTAATATAGATAATAGATATTGCTATTATTTAATATTGTCGCATTATTTTAAAGGTTTTATGCTCGTGATTCTGGTCTTCTAAAATTTCGAATGTATGCGGGAATGTTAGGTCGTACCACACCTACAGCTGCAAGACGTTTAGTTGCATTTACCTTTCATCCAACAGATCCATTTGCTATTTCTGTTCAACGAACGAATGCTGAGTACATCGTCAGTTTTCATGTTAGACATGTTTAAATTTTCATTAAAAATGTTTTAATATATTATTTTACATTTTTCCATGATTACGATCTCATTGTACAGTTTTAATAATAATTATTGATAATTTTTGGACTAAATCATATTTTTAAAAAAAAATTGATGTAAATGTAAATAGTTTTATTAAAAAAAATTAATTAGATTTTGTAATTTATTAATACTTTCTATGTTTGTGATATTTTGTATATTTATAATTTTAACTTATTAGAATAATATAATTACAAAGATATGTTTTTTTATAAAAATTGTTATTATACAATTTTCATGTTATTTTCATGTTATATATATAAAATATATAAAATATATATAAAATGTTATGTATATATATATTGAGGTTATGGTAAAGAAAATTTAATGTTATAAATTTTATAAAACAAATTTCATTTTATAATAATTCTATTATTAAAAAAAAGATAATAACTGATTCTTTTATAAACATTAAACAATATTTATTTATATTTTAATACTATGAAAATAGTTTAATATTCAATCAAATCAAAATTATTTTTTAATGTCTTATAAATTTGAAAATTTGATTATATATGTATATATATATATATATAGAGAGAGAGAGAGAGAGATATTTATATATTTATAGATATAATAATAAATAAAAATATAATATGTTTATTATATATTTTTTTATATATTTAATTATATATATATATATATATATATGAAAGAGAAATCAGAGTGATAACAAAATTAAATATATTTTTTATTTTTATGGATATTTTATTAAAATTTGTTTAATTTAGAATTTTGTGGAAAAGAAAAAATAAGATAAAAAAAATAATAAAACTATAAATAAATTCACTTATGTTTGTATATAATTATAATTATGTATGCAATAGTATGCATATATTTTTTAATTTGCAAAGTTTACTACGATAAAAATCTTTTATATATTAAAAATTTTATAATTTTTTTTTCATTATCAATACTTTTATTAATATGTAATTAAAAAAATTACAATATAAAATAAATTTCTGTGTAAAAAAATTTAATATTTGAGGAAACAATATTTAAGAAGAAATATATAACGCCATCTATTCTGTACACTATATCGACATATCAAAATGCTTAAAGAAGTCATGCGAAGCCATACTAGGTTTTGTATTAAATTGAGTGCCTAATAATTAAAATCGTCTTTTATATATATATATATGTATAATCAAATAAATAAAATTTTGGATTTTAGTATATAGTATAACTTGATATTAAAGAGGAAAAAAAGAATATAATAAAGGAAGAATTGATCTGTACTTTATGGTTGAATTTTCCATATGAAGATAGCCAGTTTATATTATTTTGGGCAAACATTACTTAAATTGTAAGTATTATATTATATTTTATTTATTTCGTAAGTATAATATACAGTTAATTATGTATATTATATTATAAATCAAAATTATATCTAATGTGCATTTGCATGCATGCATTATATCGTATGTATTGTCTTGTAGGAACGCGAATTACATACACATCACATACATAAAATATCTAGGATAATAATGCAAATATGTGCAAATATACTACATAAGTATTATATATTAACTATTTTAAAAATTTCTAAAAATTTTATAATATATTTTAATATATAAAAATTTCGTGAATTTAATGAAATTTATTTTTATTAAATATGAGAAATCAAGATTTTGAATATTAAATTACGGATAAATTATAAGAGATGCATAAAACATATAAAAATGTATGTCTTTTAATATTTTATAAGATAGATTTATTTTATATCATTTTAATATTTAATTTTTTGTTTTGTTTGCAGTGAAATAGAATGGAAATTATATATAATTTGAAAAAAAATTAAGTAAGTCATTCATATAGTAAAGCTATGATATAATTTGAATATCGATTTAATATTATAATATTTTTTTAGTAATTATTACAATTTATTTACATATATATAAAAATAAAAATTTACAATCATATGGGGTTGTGAATGAAAAAAATATTTTCCATATATATTTACATAATAATCTTTATGTTTAAAACATATTGAATAAAACTATGTTTGATGATTGTACAACTACTACAAAAATGAATATTGATAAAAATAAAGAAGATTATGTTATTCATAATGGTGAACTAAATCAAAAATGTTACATTGCATGGAGTCCTCCAAAAGATAAAAAAATTTCATATAAACAGAGATATGTAACATGTAGTAGATCAGTTCCACATAAAAGTAAACATTTTATTAAATATAGAATAAGCAGATCTTTGAATTTTGATGGAAGTACTTGTAATTCCAGTTCAGAAAGCAGTTCTTTTGAAGAAGATAAACATTTATCTAGATCTGCTAAGATAATGAGAGCTTTAAATTTTAATAGCAGTCCCTCTTATTATGGAAAAACAAAAATTAGAAAATCATTGAATTTTAATTTAACTCCAAGTCCAAAAAGTTTTCGGTGCATAAAAAAAGGTATACGAAAATCTGTGAGCCTTAATTTTAATTCTCCTTTATCTGCTTCTAGAAAATTCTTAAATCTTGATGATAATCCTAATATTTCTACAAATAGTAGTTTATTATTTTCATCTTCTGATTCTATTGATGAAAATCAAAATGAAACACCCTCACAATCAAGTACAAAAGAACATGAAATTCTACATTATTCTACACCTAATACAAAGTCAACTAAAAAATCATTATGTTCAGCAAGTTTTACACCATTATTACGCAATCAATTGAAAGAAACTATTGATAATATTGTTTATGTTAATGCAACACCTAATTCACAGTCATTAAAACGTATCAAAGGTAGATCAAAATATACAAATAATATTCCCATGAATACTTCAAGAAACTTATTTCATGAATTTCATGATAATGATGAAAGTAGATCATGTACACCTAAAAATTTAGTCTGTATAATTCCAGAAAGCATGAGTGCAATTAAAAGAAGTCATAAGAAGGTAAGCAAATAAAATTTAATAAACTTTTATCTTAATTAATATTTTTCATATTTTTTTTTTTAAATAAAATAATTTGCTATGTTAGTTTTTCCAAGTAAAATTTTTCATTGTTTTTATTACTAAAGAAATTAAATCTATTTTATAAAAATTGTATAAAAATTTTGAGTTTTTAAAGTAAAATAGAAAATTTGAAAGAAAAGAAAAGATATCATTTAGAAATTAAATAGAGATTAAATAGTTAAATATTGTTATCTACATTAATTTGATGATTATTAATTTTTATACTATAATGTTATGTATAGGAAAGATCATCAAGACGAAATGAACGTTGCACATCAAATAATTTTGTAAATGATGAAACTATACTTCAGGATAAAAATAATCTTCTATTAACTCAACATGAAAAATATATTGATCCATTACAAGATTTTAAATCAGATATAAATCAATCTATTAATGAAAATATTAATGAATTAATATTAAGTCATTCTGAAGGTGATATGTCAGACACTGGTTCACTTTTTGACTATACCGAAGAAAAACAGAATAATGTTTTAAAAGAATCTAAAATATCAGATTGGACATTAAATTACACTAACGTCATACCTAAAACAGATAATTTTGAAGTAAAATTAGAAAAAAATATGAAATGTCTTTCGAAACTTGAAAATGAAAATGAATTATTTCAAAATTTTAGCAATATTGATGCAAATAATTTATCTAATCAAAATATCAATGTAACAAATGATAGTAGATCAGTAACTCCAGAATCAGTAAAAGAAATTGTATTAGAATCGCAAACATCGGTTACTCCTGAGAATTCTATAAATATTTTACAAAATATTGTTAAAGATTCTATAAAAAAATCTCATAAAAAAATTAAGGATGATAATAAAAGAAAATTGTTCAGTCCGAAAGTTTTACAAAATAAACTCGAAACAACAGAAGAACAAGAAAATATAAAATGTTGGAAAAATTTTGAAAATACTGAAAAAAATATAATATCCATTGAAACAAATTATCATAATACAAAAGAAGAGCGATCATCTACTCCTGAAAAAGTGAATTCTAGTAGACTTTTATTGTCACAATTTAATTCTGTTAAAAAATCTCATAAAAAGGATAAACATAATAAAATATTATCTGGATTTTTAAAACGACAAGAATATTTTAATAATGATATGGATTTAGATATTAATAATAAATATAAAACATTTAATGTTGATGATACATCCGAATGTAAATATAGAATGGAAGATTTTTCTTCAAATTTGGATGTTATCACAAATATCGGAGATTCTACTTCTTTAATCTCATCTGAGAACTCAAATATATCATTGGATAAATTATCTCCAAATAAAAAACAGAAGTCACAAGATCTATCGTTGAATTGTGAAATGAATATGTCATATGATTCTGAATTACAAGAATTGGATATATCTAAAGAAGAATTTAAAATTTTCACTCCTCTTAAAAGGAAAAGATCATCAATTGCTTCTATTGCTTGTAAAGAATATTTATGTTTTTATGATTTATCACCTGAAAAAAATGAATATTCAGAAGATGGTAATATTAGTTTTTCGCGATGTTTAACGCCAGTACCAAACTTTTCAAATTTTTGCGCAAAAATAAAAGAAAATAATATTACAACAGTAAAACTCGATAATAATATTAACAATGAAAATACGAAAGAAGTATATGATTCAGATAATGATATAACAGGCAGATTGACTCCAAGAAATATGTCAACTACAGAATTATATCCTAATTTAGATTCCATTAAAAAATCTCATAAAAAAAATAAACGTGGAAATATCTCAAGAAAAGATTTCACTTTAATCAGAAATGACCATTATGTAAATGAAAGACATGAAACGTCTATGGAAAATATTATAAATGAAACAGATAATCTATCAGATTTTTCGAATGATTTTGTTACTGTAGATGATGTAATAAATAAATCAATACATGAAAAACCGATTAGTAATAATAATACAGAAATAAAAGATTCGACAAATCTTGTTGATGATAATCAGAGTTCTGCAAATAATAATTCGAAAAATGCAACTGTAACACCACCAAATTGTTTAAAGACAAAAAGTTATATCAAATTATTAGGGGAAACTTCTATTAAACGATCACATAAAAAAGTTCGAGATAAAAGGAAAG